CCCGGGATCAGGCATATTCTTGAAAGCTTCGCGCATCAATAACTCTTGTTTTCCGAATGCTTTTTTCTCGTGGAACCAAAATCTGCACCGCCTGACTGTTCACGCTATGGTGGATATCCCCATAGGTGACGAAATCACAGTCTGCTACATCTTTCCATTCTACTCTCTGCAAATTCGCCGGGACTTGTTCCGCGAACACTACGTATTTGAGTGCGACTGTTCAGCTTGTCACGTTGAAACCGGAATTGGCCGACGCGGTGAGTTCCGTCGTCGAAGGATGGAAACCCTTTATACGGCCATCGATAAAACCAATGATGGTCCCAGCAACAACGACCAAAAGGAATTGGAAATGGTCCTTGAGTTCATCAGATTGGCAGAGGATGAACGATTGGACGGCCAATTCCTCTCGTGCATATACAGTCGTGCAAAGAAATGTTATGACGATCGCGGTTCAGAGCAATTGGCGCTGGAATATGCGGAGATGGAGGTTGAGACGAATATGCGACTCCTTGGCGACGACCACGCCGACACGCAGGAGAGCGCGAGGGATTTGGATGAATTGAAGACTAGGCTGGCGATGGTGCAGCAAACGGAGGAGAACGGTGAGAACTTGGGGGCTTTGTGAAGAAAGACAGCTAAGAGCGAGGGCCAAAGTCTGGGCTGTTTATTGGTAGGGTTGAGTATGAATTGATGACATTGTCAAATAATTACGAGGATGGCAGGCCATGTCTCGGGCACCCTGTTGCATTCAAACTATTTGCGCGCGCGTCTACGGGTTCTACCAAGTTTGCTAACCCTGGGACACGGTTGCTGATTCTATGAAGCACCGTCATCACCATTCGAATTTACGCCGAATGAATGCTTGTCTCAGAAATAGGTACATCGTTCAAGGCCTGCAGTACTCTCATGCCCAGTTTTATTCCCTGTGTAAGAATCGTGGGTCGAGAATATCCTTCGATGCAACCATTGTTCGGTTTGCCTTCCTGCTAGTTTTGCTCGTGACAGCCAATGCGCAATCTTTCACACAAAATGATACAAATACGGGCCACCTAGCGGCGTTGGATGATAGTAGTCGCTATCCTTTTCCTCGTGAAAGGATTTCCAGCTTGTCAACTTTAGAATTTGAGGCACTTCGGCAGGGGTCATTCCGATTTTTTTCGCTGTTTTGCCTTTCAGAAACTCTTATCGCAGAAGTGGGAATAATGTTCTTTGTGACACAGTCCTCTTTCCCAAAAGGCTGAAAACCGTCTCCTCTGTCCCAGTGCTGGCAAATCAAGTACCACTTGCTGGTTTCGTGCCATCATTGCTATTTGGACCTCCGTCCCAAGACTCTGTTCCGATGACTGCCGATAGATCGTCAGACTTCAAGGTTCAAAAACGCAAAATTTTGAGCCGAGCCTTGACCGTTGTAGAAAACGCCGTGTACTTCTGCGCTGCAGGACTAATTTTTTCGGTAACCCTGGCATCCCGTTTCAAGTGCTGCAGAGACCGCACTGTCAGTGTTGGTATACCAGCAACATGCCATCTCAGCCATCTTTCGACACCAGCATCCATTTGCCCCTGGGGTCGAGTGCTTCATTAGCACCCCCACCTAATTCGGTGCTCTGTACTAATACGAGTTGCAGCCTGCAAGGTTCATCCGCTCACAGCAGATTACAAAACCGAATCAGGCAAGGCCAGTAACAGACGTTCGACGAAAGGATGTTATCCTTGTCAGTGAACTTGCTTATGTAGCCATTGAGAGGACTCTCGTATCGAGTGAGGAGCCGGAACTTTCCATACGTCAGGTTTCGAGGTCGCAGCGTCTTCGATGATATCGAGTGAGAAGTCACTGTTCGCTATGACAAGAATGTCGAAGTCGGAACGTTTACTAAAACTGCAATTGTTTCGTTTTTTTCGGTTTTTTTTCATTTGCGGTGGTTGCTAACAGAACTTCCTTCAAGGTCAAATTACTGGACGTCGACATGTTAATTAGAGACATTGGACTTCTGAGCATGCCGTTCGAGATTCGAGATGAGGTTCTATAGCGACTACTTCGGGAGGGCGCGAGGCTCACGAAAAGGCTGTCGAGCACGAAAAAGAGCTGAGTCTGTGCCTTCCCTAATTGTTGGAATTTGCGGAGACTATCGAAAAATCGTTAGTGAAAGTAAGGGACTTGTGGGGGTTTAAAGTAGTCCTGAGGGTGGAGTTCATTGATTCTGATGGAGATCCTGAATTGATGGAACCCGAACGACGGGCCGGTACTTTAGGTTGGGGGGGTTATGGTTGAATGAATGATGAGCCTGTTTTCCTGAACGTTGTGCTTCGATGTATCAAGCAGGCGAGAAGCTTAGGAGGATTGATTCGTCCGCAAGACAGCCCGCCCAGCTCAGCCCTGCGAATTACGATGGCGCACTCTGTCGAGTAATGTCGCATCCTATTACTTCATCATTCATTTAATTGCCACAAATTGTCAAACAGATAGTCTTCGTCATCGACAGGTAACAGCTAAGATCAATCCGGTTCACGAAGCTCAAGAACGTTAAGACAACATAGATAATGCCAGCTCTCTTCCGATTTAAGTCTCCTTTTGAATGCAATAAAAGGGGAATAGTCCTTCTGCCATCAGATGCACTCGTCAGTATCTTTAGGACCGACTGGTAAATGTCGTAAGATCATTGTGCTCAACACTCTTGTAGCTGAACATCCTGAGCCTCATTGTTTCTTCATTTGTTGGCACCTTACTTCTCGGCATTGTCTCGACACTCTCATTAACACTCTCAGAGTTTGCTCAATTTCAGTTTGCTTAATTTCTTCACCACACATCAAAGAATCACGAAATTTCTACTTACTGATTACTCGTTACCGATTCCAGCTAGCAGAACGTCGTCTATGCCCGACCAAGCAGGCTTAGAATGGGTGGAGGGTACATGGGGCGAACAAAGACCGCAATGGACCAAGGAGCCATCGCTGGATATCGTCCTCCAAATTGCTTGCCATCACCTTGGCTTAGCTACTAGCCCAGAGACCACTATTGCTTTCCTCAGCCAGGGTGGATTCAACAAACTCTTCAAAATCACCTGCTCAATAGGCAATTTCGTCATGAGGGTCTCCTTGCCTGTGGATCCCTTTTACAAAACCGCTAGCGAAGTGACCACCCTTGACCTCATACAGCACCACACTACTATCCCTGTGCCAACTGTGATCGCACATGATGCTTCCAATGAGAACGAGCTCGGCTTTGAGTGGATACTTATGGAATACGTGTCTGGAGTCACGCTCGATGAGGCTTGGACCATGATGACATGGCTTGAGAAGTGCAAGCTGGTGGAGAGAATTGTCGATATATCATCGCAGCTGTTCCGGCTACGAAGTGAAACCATTGGCAACATCTACAGAGCAGATGATCCAGTCCCCAACATTTCGGATCGGTCAATTCCAGATGATCATGGAGTAAGTTCGAAATACATGATGGGTCGAATCGTTTCCATGCCCTTCTTTTGGGCAACCCGCTTGTCACTGGATATCCACCGAGGCCCGTTTAAGTCTAGCATGGATTGGTTGATGACAAGACTGGCGCTTCTGAAACATGACACTGAGCAGCCACTGCCTTCCGACGCCGACTCCGATGACGGAGAAGAGATAGACTTGAATAGGGAAATGATCACACTGCTTCTTCGACTTATGCCGCACTTCTTCCCGGCTGACGTGGAAGAAAGTGAGGGCTTTGGCCTCCGTCACGATGACATATCACGCCGGAATATTATGGTCGAACCTTATACAGGAGAGCTCACCGCACTCGTCGACTGGGAATGCGTTTCGATGGTACCACTGTGGAAAGTCTGCCAGCTCCCCTGGGTTCTAATATCACGCGAACGTACAACCGAACCTCAAAAGCATCGTTACACACACGAAGGCAACGAAACCGATGAGTTGTACTTTATTCATCTCGAGGAGTACGAAAAGACATGTCTCCGACAGCTATTCTTCGAGCACATGGCAAAGCTCGAGCCGGCCTGGATGGAAATACATCGCCTGTCGGAAGCAAAGGCAGACTTTGACTATGCGGTTGAGAATTGCGATTGTGAGATACATCGCAAGCAGATCAGGACATGGTTGGAAAATGTGGTTGCTGGTAAAGAGCAGGATAGTCTTCGGGCTTTGATGTTGAAATGAAATTGCAGCGTACATACCTGAGCTTAGACCAGATGCCTTAGGTTCGCTGAAGATTTCGGTCATACATGATCTTAGCACAATGAACATCAGCTTTGATTTGACCCTTTTTGAGGCATCTTTCTCGTTCGGAACGTCTCCACTTGGTACCTTAGCGCCACATCCCTAGACAGACGAATGCCATTATAATTTGAGATACCTCTAAAGATTACTGAAATCAATCAGAATGTTATTTAGGTTCGATCTTCACGCTTTTGATGTAATTCTCAGGTACTTGTAATTCGTGACCCTCTCGGTATGCGACCTTCATGATCACGGTGGAGTCACGGGGCGTACGACCTTTAAGATACATTCGTTCTGTAGGTGTGCGACCAACAAGCCACCGTGGTCTTTGCTTGAGTTCGTGCCGAGTATGGTGTGTTGCCATTCTGCAACATTACTTTGCTGCTTGGAAGGCTCAAGCAATCACGAATAAACGAATTTATTTGGGTACCAAGCCGACATTGTTTGTAGCCTTGCGCTCAACCTCTACTGGTGCGCTCAGGGGATCGAAGTCATCATGATGCAGTTCTGAAAGCTTGAGCAGATTTAGAGTAATAGACAGTACCGAAATGGACTTTTACTATTGTGAGACCAATTTTGCTCATCTAATGTTACCTCGGTCGTAGACTTTTGGGATTCGGCCTACACCGGTGTAGTAAGCTGCGCTCATACAAGCCTTGAACGGACATGAACTCTCGATTGGACATGCCTATGTAGCTAAGCTTCGGTCATATATCTGGGAGTTTGCTGACAATCTTCGGTCGCTTACCATCTTGGCAAGGTCGCCCTGCCCCCAGCCATCGACATTAGATGATCCTATTCTTCTCCAGTTCCGCGCGAACTTCCGCAGGCGTCCAAGCCTCTTCCTTGACCGGCACCAAGGCGATGGAGAGCGACTTCCCTGCAAATCTCTTCAACGAAGTGATGAGGGTCCCCCTGTTGATCTGCACGTGCAGGTTGTAGCATCGCGGATCTTTAGTAGTGACCGTTTGCATGTCTAAGCGGAAATTGCGGGTCTTGTAGACCGTAGTCTCAACCGATGGAAAGCCCGTGAGTTTTGAGTCTGGGATATTCGCAATGAACTCTTCGAGTTCGTTCTTAGCTTTCCCCATGGTTTCTGCCTGTGACCGATCGGTGCTGATACCATACTGAAGAGCGTCTCTTCTACTGTTTAAGTAGCTATCAGGGAGTGACGAAAGTGATGCGGATCCATCTTAGTGTTGAGGAGGACCGTGTTGGAGTTGGTGTCATTATGCCTATTGTGCGACTGCATTGTGCACCTGCCGACCAAGTGACATAAATAAGGGCTTCTTATAACGTAGTAGCAATAATGCTCAACACTTCACACTGCAGCTTTTTCTGGAAGCTTACCCAAATTTATGAAACTTCTCAATGCATGCTGGTGTTAGGTTTGCGATGACTCTCAGCAATTGCTTGCACGCTACCGATTTTGGAAATTCTTCCAATTCTGTCCTTGAAGCTAGGTGCGGCGCCGGAGCCTGAGCCCCGTCCATTGCAACCTTTTACATTGGAGCTCAAGTGGTGACCATGAAGCCGACACCCCCCGCGCTTTGTAGCGCTCCTCTGAATCTCATAATCTTGAAAGCGAAAGCCAGAGGGTTGAATTCTATTCACGGCCGCATGTTCACTTCAGGTACCCATGACATTGGAGAAGTCTAGGACTTGGTTTGGAGGGGCTGATTATCTGGTCGAGAGATAGGGCTGCGCTGATTGGTCGATAAAGCGCGGAAGAATGGGTCAATATAGCTAATACGTTGGTTCGTATGGCACGGAAGACTGTGAACGCCCCAAGCAAGATTTGGGTTTTTAGGACAGTCATCATCTTCAGTTCTGTGTTGATGTTGAGATTCAGTCGCATGAAACGGGACTGAAGGTTTTGACTGCGCTTATCTAGAGCGAGTGATGGTGGCGGTTGGCTGAGTCCTTTGATTTGTGACACTTGAAGTTGTTTGTTCTGTCAACACACTGTTTCTCTGTGTTGGACCACTTGACGCTTCGCATAAATATTTCCTCGTCTCTTACTCACTACTTCCTATTTCAAACCCCAATCGCTCGGTATTCATGACCACGAACGGTGACATTGATCGTCACACCACTGAAATATCGATATTACCACAGTGTCAGGGCCTCCACTCCTTCATAAGTTCTCGTTTCCCCATCTACACAATGTCCAGCACCACAGCCAAGACTCCACAGGGCGACCCAAAGCATGGCGGCGCTCTCTTCCGACTTCCTCGTGAGATTCGAGATGTCATCTATCGACGTCTGGTCAAAGGCCGCTATCTAACCGACAAGCGATCAGCCCACAGTGAGGGGTCCGACAAGGAGGGATCCGACAGCGAGTCAGATGTCAACCAGAACGCCAGGCCAAACTTATCCATCCTTCGAGTCTCAAAGGCCGTCGGTCATGAAGCTGTGGAAATCCTGTATTCGGACAGTGTCTTTCGATTTCCCATCGACTTCAAAAGCCCTAGAGACGATGACGAGGACGGTAAGCTCTTTCGCCTCAATCACCTGAAGAAAGTCGCGCCTATGATGAAGAATGTCTACCTCGATGTCGACGGCGCGTCGATTAGATGGGCTGATTGGTTCGAGACTCTGTGGGCGCGGAAACTTGAACTAAGTTCCGGGCCTACCATCGACCTCTTTAGAGATGTAGACATCAAGCGTCGAACTTTACACATCAGAATGTCGGAATGCTGCGCAAGAATGCTCGAAGGGACGTCATTCAGCACCATTTGCCAACGACTCAAGAGTGTAGTCGGCTTCAGCGTCGCTACTGTCGAGGTCACGCTCTCGAGTGACGTGCCCGAAGCGCCTGCCTATTTCGGATTCAATAACGCGGAACAGACTAGACGCGCTCGCGACTTGCTGCGCTACATCACACATAAGATAACAAAAGAGCTAGAACCCGCCTTCGGACCCGCCATCTCTGGTCTTCAGTTGGATGCTGGCAACATGCCTATTCAAAAGAGAAACTTCTCCGAGGGCGGCGATACCACTTTGGTCGGGTTTCTTGAATTCCATCCAGGCAAGCATTCGGTCCAGGAATCCACCGCGGAAGAGGAGAGATTGCGGTAAGGCCTCCAGGGGTGTACCTATGGGATCATGAAAGACACGGTCTCATGGAAGGTATGGACCATAGAAGCGATAGTGAATAGATAGCTTGCCTTATAGCAAGAAGCTAAGCACAATGTCATTCAGTGCTTTTATCTTTTCGTTATTTCCACCACGCAGTCATTGTGAATGCGAGCACCGAATCAAAGATCTCCACTCTCGTCCTTTTTTCCTCCCCAGACAGCCAACTCTCTGGCACCTGAATCCATCCATGTTTCATGCCTTTGAATCTCTCCACGATCAACTCATCGCCTCTTCCCGCTTCCGCCACCTTCTTGACCCATATTTCGCCATGTTCTGACAGTGAATCAAGCTCCGGTAATACGAGCAGCATCCTTGCTTGGTCGTGCAACAATCCCTTTAAATCTGCTAGACCAGGCGATGCACGCGGATGACCTGCTTGGTCTCGTGGCAGGTATGTTGGCATGAGCATGTCATTTACGTCGGCCCCGAGGCCTTTAAAAACGGGGAGCCCAGCTGGTCGTGTCCGCTCAGATGGGAGCTGACGGCAATCGAACGAAGGGTAGAAGAGGAGTAGCGGTATGGGGTGGGGGAAGTCTGAAGGGAACCGACTTGGCCAGTCCGACTTCAACTGTGGTGGTGATATCGAAAGAAGGAGATTTAGTGCTATGTTACCGCCACTGCTGAAGCCTGAGATGGCGATACGAAATTTATCGAGGTCGATATCACGCTTCAGCCGAAGTTGTTTATCCCCTTCGATCTTTTTGGCAACTGATTTCCGTAGCTCGGTGTAGCCGGGCGCCCTTGCATCTAGGACCGCGCTCAAAACATCCCCAGCATCTTCTAACGCTGCAGGATGCTGGCTCGCTGGTCCCATACAGTAGTCTACGGCCACAACAATGCAACTGAGCTCTCTTGCGAGCTTGGCGCAAAACGGGGTCTGTTCGTGACAAGATCCAAGTACGAAGCCCCCGCCATGGAAGTCAACGACCACGGGAAGCTTTCTGGCTCTGCCCTCATCAAGTTTATCTGGAACAAAGATATAGAGCGGGATAGTGTATTTTGAGCGGGAGGGCAGGTTCAGAGAGAAGGGATGTGGACCTTCTGGGGAGGTGATGCGCAAGAACTGAAGAGGGACGGCTCACGAGAGCCTTTCGCCATTGAATATCGAAAGGTTGAGAAAGGAGATTTTAGCTGACATGATGATGATGACGATGAAGATTTCTAAGAATATTCGTTGCAGTTCTGTATATGAATTAGTAAGTAAATTGAGTCACAAGTCAATCAATCCCACACTTTCGACGTCACGAGTATGGCACCTCTTAGGGCCCCTTTGGCAACCAAATTCAACCAATTTTACCCACATTTCCAACATTCTAGGTCATGAAAACACGTACTACCGTTTGGTTACTACATTCTCATATTCTATGCTTACAAATCAACAATTTCCTATTGCCAAGAGTCAAATGTACGGGTTTATCACATTTGCCAGCAAACAAGGTCCAGGGCTGGTTGGCTGGCAATGTGCGCTCGAGCCTACATCGTGGATCCAGGGCCATAATAGAGTCATATACACTACTATGATGGAGGATGATAGCCAAGTCGAGGAAGCCGTTATTGCTACTGTTTTTACTGCTGCTCAGTACTATTCCTGTCACTATGATAAAATGGCACGTCGTATTTATTTGGTGGCCATATGTAAAGGCGCTTTCCATGGGAGGTGTCCATAAGAGTGGCTCTCAGGGGGTGGCCCACTGCAGGTCTACCAATGGCTCCCTGTACGGTTCCGGTACTTCAGGATATATAGGAGGAGCATTTGGACAGCCGCAGTACCTGCTGGAGTGGTGGGATCAGCCATAAAAATGAGGAGATGGTCATATGCAGAGGTTTTTTAAAGTTTCCAACGGAGAAGCTTGGCAATCTAGTGGATTGCTGAATCAGCTGAAATGTGGCCACCAAACGGTCCGTATATACATTCTATACATTCTATAAATTTATTAGCTTGTTTCTAGATCATTTTTATGTAGCGTGGTTGGGCTGAAATCTATGAAATGTGGGTTTAGATTTGGTTAAAGCCCTTAAGCAGTGTAAAGTCTTGGCATGAGGCTCCAGTGAGTTTTGCACTAGTGCATTCCGGGCTAGCGCTTGGCGTAGCACAAACTCAATGCCACTGGCAACTGTTACCACCAAATCCCCTCTGCAACTATCTCCTGATCCTGATACCTGCGCGTAGTGCGATCGAAACCAAGGTGATGCTGACTGCGATGACCACTTGAGCAACTCGCAGCGGCAACAAAGTCCGCCCAAGACGGTACTGTAAAATACCAGCGCTTTGTTTCTTGATCCCTGCTTTGAAGCCATCGATCAGCTTGCAACCTTTTTCTCCATCGCTGACGGGTTAGCATTCGGCGCTATAGCGCCTTCTTCAAAAAACATCTATCTTGCCCCTCTTGTCAACTCCATCCTTGAAGCTATTCCCCCGAGGTAGACCGTATTAACAGAGCCGAGCTCCAATGGGAACTGAGATTCTCTGACAGATATAAGATTTAGCATTTCACTGTATGTATTGGCGACACTTACGTTGGGACGGTCGTGGCTCAGCAGAGTGACTTTAAGATATCACTTTGAAATTTCTTGTTGGACTCCGAAGACCGCGAATTACACACCCTCTACTTACGTTAATATGTCGACTGTAAGTATGGACTTCAACCTCCCATGTATTGATTATAGCGACTGACCGACGAGCGCAGAAATGCCTTATCAATGCACCAAGTTTTACATCTCGAATGGCTACTCGTGGGGGGCTTTTGGAACTAGACTCAAACGCAATAATGAACTTGGTCTCGGTCGATGGATGTTCGAGTGCTCGCAAAATGTTCGCTATGAGCAACATCCGTGCACTTTGCTTGCCTTACAAGCTTGATTCCTGGGTACGCTCTTCCAGTTCCCCCTCCTGGGTGATGTCGTCAGCAGAAAGGCCAATGCAACGTCGTCAGACTCGGCTAAAACATGTTAAGAAACCAGCATTCGGTCAAGGTCGGCATGAGACTGGTCAGGCGTTCTTGTTCACATGAAAGGGAAAGCTAGTACTGGGTGAAGGTCGGGGTGTGACTGGAAGCCGGTATTGTTGACACGTTAAGAGCGAACATTGCCGGCTTGAAGTCGAAGAGCACGGATCATGGACACTCTCGGCTTTCCACAAGAAGGGGGCTCCTTACTACAAAAAGACCCCAATCCCGCTCTCTATTCTTTCTTTTTCTGATTATGAGTATGTCTACCTTCCTAAGGCCCACTTCCTTTCAATGATGACAATGGTACATCCATTAGATCTTCCTCTAACAGATTTGCCTCAAAGCTTCGCCCACCTAGAACTGGATAGCCAGCATGGCGTTGGAAGCGAACAGACCGAAGCGGATCCCCAAAAAATTCGTCACCGCGCATGAACGCTACCGAGGTTCGACAACAAGTCGGATTTCTGACCCTACCACGTGAGATCCGCGACCACATACACCTCAACCTCATAGTCGTGGAACATCCAATACAGTACGATACACAATTTAAAAGCTTGTCTCGGAGCGACACCTTCACGGACAGGGCGATAATGTGGATGTTTGAAGTTGCCTCAAACACTCAGATCGCACGAGAAGCCCGCGAGACTTTCTACCAACACAACACCTTCCTCATCTACACCCATGACATCCCGGCCCGCCTCAGTGCAAAGGTCCATACTGTGTCATTTGGAGCTGCGGATGGTGTCGAGCCAACAACTTATAGTACACCCTTCGAGGCTGGCGCGTGGGTGAGGAAGCTCGCAGTCCGCGTGGGTTGGCATGCATCAGGCGGCTGGTTCCCCGATGAGTGTTGCCGAAATCCTGCCCATGATCTAGAACCTTTAAAGTCGGCATGATCTTGACGCCAAGTTCGGCGCTTGATCCTATGGCTACCCGCAGGGTATCGGGTGGGAATTGTTGGAGGAGGTGAACGAGAAATGGGGAAAGGAATTCAAGATCTACAACGATCAAACGTTGCGGAGTGACACTCATTGGTACACAAGTGACAGGCGGGCGGGATCTCAGCGATAGATGGCTGCTAGAGGATCAGCGTAGTCAAGTGGCGGAGGAGGCGAGCGCTGAGTGTGGAGACGATGAGCAAGTGGACGTGGTTGAGGGTGGAGAAGTAGAGCTTTGGGGAGAAGCTGAGACTGAGACTGAGACTGAGGAGGAGGAGGAGGAAGAGGAGAAGGAGGACTCGAGGAGGGAATGGCGTGGGAAGATACTGCAAGAGAAGAGGAGGAAGAAGAAGAAGATCGAGAAACAGATGAGGACGAGGAGGAAGCGTTGAGTGGGAGGAGGCAAGGTTGGTGGAATTGACTGGAATTACGCAAGAGCAGTATAAAGGTTGGTAGAAGAAGTGGACTATGTTGCTCGGGGCGCGAAGGCTGTAATCATAGGAGTCAGAGAGCTTAGTGTAAATGATTCAAATTGTAGGAGATCGAAGAAAGAGAGGTGAAGGACCGGAGGTGTCCCCATGACTTGGGGTTTTCTTTCAGAAGCAAAAAATCATTTCATTCCATGTCATCCTTTTATGAATGCTGCGCCTGTAACTCGTGAGCGATGCTAGGATGCTGAGGCGGCGCCAAAAGCCGTAAACGCCAAGAGTCCTGCCTTGAGACCTCGGACAACGCCCTGTTAGATTATTTGGGACAATATGCTTACAACAGTACACAGAGCTGTTTCGGAATGGCACCTGGCCTGAATCTTTATTTGGGGTACAAGGCCTCTATTATGCTTCCTTTCAGTTCAACTTCTCCGCTCTCAGAAGACAATTCTACACTACTACGTGTTCTATCTACACGTGACGAGCTCGATAAGGCTCTTGGCGAGCTCGCTGAACAGGCAACTCGCACCGAGTTGCTCCGAAATTACAGACCTAAGTTTGCTAGAAACACGGATTACGATAACGTTCTGCAACCGTAACCGGGCTCTAAAGGAAGCCGTCTACTATGACAAGCCTACAACGTATCCTTGAGGATGTCAAAATCTGTTGGTTATTGGTTCACAGCCGCCTCCCAGCCACTTTGTCGGATCAGCCATCCTAATAGGATATACATCAGATGTGCCCAAGGGGAGCTTGGGCAGGATAATTCAAAGCATTCTCATCATCGCATGTCTGATTTTTCGACAGTGGATGCCCACAAAATGAAGCATACAGCCGCTTCAACCATAAAAGTGGTTCTAAGCCCTCCAGGCGCACAAATAAGGTCAAGCTCTCCTATCCGCCTCCTCGTCACATGGGATGAAGCTGGCAAGCGATCAAGAAAAGGGGTCAAGACATGCCGCTGTAAGTTCTACGCGTCCAGATAATTTTCAAGACCAGCAGACGAGAGATGAAACCGAGTATCCACAGTTCATGCAAGTTTGTCGGATCAGCGAAGCTAGGTAACCATGTTCTCGGGACGGACACAGCTCCCACGGTCCCGGTTCGGCACCACCTGAAGCCCTTACTCAATCTTGACTAATACTCCACTACATCATCCGGCAGTACCTTTTAATTGTGGCTCCGGTATGATGGTAGAGGCAGGTTGCAAAGATGGAAATTGGAATGTTATATCTGCCGTGAGGAAAAAGCCTTGTATACACGACATCAACATAAGAATAACACCCCGCGCGTCCTCAAAGCATCATCAATGCAGGAACATCTTTTTGGATGTACATCATGCAAGTTATCAAATAATTATCGTGCAGCATGCATAATCACGCTTCAAGGGTTCAACGATTCCAGCATGTCACTGGCTAGCCGTATTTTCTTATCTTCAATCTTGTCCCACACTAGGTTTGTCATTTATGTTAGTCGCCAGGCTTTCGTACGACGTTGTAAAATCTGTTCATGCATGTGAGCGATTCCAGTACAGCTACAGATATCCTGGACAATCCGAATAAGACTTAATCTGCGCAGCGGACCGTGGCAGACATAGCCCTGACCTTCTTTAAAGACCGACACTCCATTGACTGAAAGAGGTCATTTTCAGACCCTTTTCCTTCCAACATTGCATACCACCCTCACCACATCAGCATCATCCGTTACCCCAGCAATGACACCTCCCACGGCTCTGGCCAGTGGCGCTAAGGGAGTCAAAATGAATAGCCTTAGTAAAGACTTCGAATCCATCACCATCACGGGATACTACACCCGGGACATCAGGTTCCCAGTATTTCACATGTCTCAATCGCTGGCGGCAATCTTTCTGATCAATCGTATAGACATCTTTACAAGACGAGGGATCTGATGCCATGAATGGGGCGGTTGACTTCTCAAATCCATACTGTGTACTACAGACTAATTCTGAGTATGAGGGCCATGGTGTGGTCAGTCCACAGCCTGCCAGCGGTTTTGCTGTCGCCCATTTGCTGACACGATTTCAGAGCTTCACCATTGGGCGAGGCAACAACCTCGTCTGCGCAGCTATCGACATGCTTGCTCCACTGCTAGTGAACCGATCTCTAGCATCCCTGACATCGAATATGGGCAATACATGGCGCTATCTAGCCTCAGACTCGCAGATGCGCTGGGTAGGCCCTGAAAAGGGTGTTGTACACCTCGCGCAGTCTGCAGTCGTCAACGCCGTTTGGGATCTCTGGGCGAAATCTCAGGGTAAACCTGTTTGGCGTCTGGTGGCAGAGATGTCGCCAGAGGAGTATGTGCGCTGCATCGATTTCCGATACATCACTGATGCACTCACGCCTGAGGAGGGTATTGAATTGCTTCGTAACCAGGAACTTGGGAGAGCTGAGAGGTTGAAGGAGGTGGAGGAGAATAAAGCCGTTCCTATTTACAGCACCTCAGGTATCCAGAACATCGAGTCCCTAGACTAAGCTGCTTAATTGAAATCAAAGATACTAATCCTCGTCTAGCTTCATGGTTAGGCTACTCAGACGAGAAGATGAAAGGCCTCCTAGAACAGTCCAAGGCTGAAGGGTTTCACCAATACAAACTTAAGGTCGGGGGAGATCTCGAGCGGGATCTTCGTAGATTGAAGCTCTTTAGAGAGGTCAACGGTTGGGATGATATCCTCATGCTAGACTCGAACCAAGTACACCTTTCAATCCCCTACCCACCCTAGCTCCCTCAACTCCCTTGATTACCACTGACCTTTTCATTGTAGATTTGGTCCGTGCCCGAAGCAGAATCCTACATCGCCCACCTCGCCCCATTCAAACCTCTCTTCATCGAAGAACCCACCTCCCCTGACGACATCCTCGGCCACGCCACCATCCGCGCCGCCCTACGCAAATACAATATCAAGGTTGCCACCGGTGAGCATTGTCAAAACCGCGTCATGTTCAAGCAATTCTTGCAAGCCGAGGCGCTGGATTACGTCCAGGTGGATGCTTGTCGTCTTGGTGGGCTGAATGAGGTCATGGCTGTTATGTTGATGGCGGCAAAGTTTCACGTTCCGCTGCATCCGGTAGGCTATGTCGCGTTCTTTCTAAAAGGGGGTCGGAGCCGCGTTCGAACGTGATTTCGGCGTGCTGATTGCTGAATTGGTGGGTTCTCTAGCACATCGGCGGCGTCTCCCTCCCCGAGTACTCCCAACACGTCATCACAATCGACTACCTTGTCGTTAGCGGGCGCCGTAGCGTTCTCGAGTACATCGACGCCTTGCACGAACATTTCTATCATCCCGCACAGATCGCCAATGGGTTCCATGTCACGCCCACGGCGCCCGGGTACAGTGTTCACATCAAGCCGGAGAGCATGGATCGCTTTAGCTTCCCTGGAGGGAACGGCAGTTGGTGGAAGGGTAAGGAAGCTGAGAAGCTTTTGAAGTTAGAGAGGACGGTGGGGTGGAGGCCGGAATTTGGAAAACCCCAAACGGAGGTGGTGGATGTGCAGTTGAAGGGAAATGATGCTGCTTTTGCTAACGATGATGGACGAACGTGAAGGTTATCAGGCTGATCTCCTGGTGGGTTGGCTTCTTTCCTTTGTTAGTTTCGAGTCTCGCTGGATTCCGCAGCGTCGTTTCCCTTTTCTTTCCCCTTCATTCTTCTCTTCAAAGGATTCTCAACAATCTGTATCAGCCACTTTGAGGTCTCAACGACGGCTCATAGCTTTCGATTGTTGGAACCCTCTCCGTGGGCTTCATTTTGATGTCAGGTTTTCAACAAACATGACCGGGGCGCTCAACCGCCAGTTACTGGAAAGCCATAGAACAACATGTGGCACAACCATACTCACTCAGCGCACGATGCAATAGTTCTCCGCTCATAGAATGAGTAGTGACTGCGACGCGTGCATAAGTCTACAAGACTTCTAAACAAAGTATAGTAACGAATTAAACTACTTGCTTTAATTGCTTGAATGAACGTGCTCATCTGCTCATCCATGTCCGAGAAACTCCCATGCCTATGGGATAGACCTGGAGTGAAATGGTAGCTAGCTATATATAGGTGTGGGTGGGTGGGACAAAAAGTATGCAACGGATCTGAAAGAGACGAAATCGAATGAAGAGCCATTGACAGGTGCAAAACAGGTGGATATCTAGCTCGTAGTGAACAGGTGTCTCCTACCCCTGCTAGGGTACCTGAAACAGCGGCTATATCATGAAACCCACTAACCCTCAGTCCCACTGTGGCGATCTAATACAAGACAAACAAGTCCTATTCCCAAACGTCGTTTTGCCACAGTATGAGAAATTCATGCTGTAGTAACTCTGACAACATTTTGCTCATTTCCATTCTTGACACTCACGGAATTTGTTGAGGTACCATCTGTTGACCGCTTAAAAAAGGGTTTGGAGATATATTTGTTGAACATACAACCTACTTTGAATTGTCGCGACGCCATCTTTGCCGGCAACGGCGCACATTCCAACAGCAGCTACTGCGGCACCCCACACCCTATACCATTTTGTGATCATAGGTGGACCGGTGCCCTCGACACTAATGTTGCACTGGCCCTCGGCTATATATCTCGTCAGCTTCGTACGACAAGCAAGACTGCCGTGAGAACCTGAAGTAGGAAGGGAAATTTCACGAATCAGAAAGCGCCACGGGAGAATCCTGCAAGGGAGGCTTGAACACCTCTGATTTCGTCGTCGCGGGTATCCGTTCCAGATTTAGGGGACAGAATCGAATGTCTGCGGCTCTCACACTGGGCTCGGAACATTGCACAGTCGGCTCATACTGCTAAACCGTCCAGCTCAAAGATCCCTGTTGTCCTAGAGGCGGTCAGCATACGCTCTACAAACCTAACGGCCCAGTACGTGCACTGACCTAAGCCACTTGCAATCCCGCCTTGATCCTGTGACTCCACGCAGCCTGTTATCAGACGAAAGGCTGCCTACTTCATGTCTTGCAAGCTCGCGCGGTCGGATTAAACCCTAGCTGCGTGGGAGAATTCGATGATGCAGTCTCCATCCGCTGTACATTGACGTTAGCTATCAGGCAGAGCCCAGATGATTATAGCGGTCAAGTCTACAAGTCGAGTGCTTACGACCTATGAACCTGTAAGGAAGGAGAACTCCCTGGTTGGCGATGCTACGATCTCTAAAGGTATTGATATTCGAATCAGTGGGCATGTTTCGGTATGCGGCTCGGCAGCTGGCATCGAGGCGACGGCCTTATCTTGCGCTGCTGCATCCAAATATCACATCGTTCTCTTCCGACAGATTGAAAGGTGCGGATGATTGTGGTCCCCCTCGGCTAAGGGATGAAAGATTTGTGGGAACTGAGATTGTTTGAAGAGGGACCCCGTTGGCAAGCAAGTCGGACGTTTGATAGGTTGTCGGCAATGCTAGGCCTTGTGGAGCATCCAATACTAGCGATGAAGCGACAGAGATTCGGGGAAATGATCCCTAGCCAAGGAATGAGTCCCATCTTCAACTGCGAAAATAGCAATGACATAGAAAGTAATAGCACTTGGAGAGGTTACAGCGGGAGAACATTATCGCGGGTATTGGCTTAGATATAGTAATAACACAGGGTAATGCAACAACGTGTGAGCTACCATAGGCACGAAGCGCTTGAGAGTGTCGCTTGAGTCGACACGAGAAACACGCGATAACATCATGTGCGACCGGGCTTTAATTTGAGGCATAGCCTTCGTCCGCAACAAGCGCTATGCGCTGCCCGTGTACAACGCGGTACAAAAATCATTGTTGGATACTCTCACCATAAGCGGAGAGCTGCTGCCAGGCCATCCAAATGCACCTTCCCCAGACTACAGTCTGTTCACCACTTCCACACCGAGGATCTAATTTCAAGTTAATTGCAGCCAGCCAATCATCTCCTCTATCCAATGATTTGACGTACGTTTATGTCAATGGCCTTGAGCCTTGTAAGATCACTTACCAGATATCCGACTCCGCCGTTCCACCTCTGAATTTGAATGCGGTATTAGTCTGCCGACCCCAGATCTCCTGTCGCCTTTAGCGGTAATTAGGTGTTGCTGCAAATATCAGAGTCAGAGATTCCCTAGGATCTGATGGGCTCCTTTGTGTAAAGCTGGGAGTAGAAACGTAGGGAGCTGTTGATTGCAAATCCATCGAGACGGAGGTTGAAAATACCGTTGTTGATTACAGTCACCCTAATTCACGCATCGCACTCGAGCAGCAGAGAGAATCTGCCGAAAGATACTCTGGAGATATAGACGGAAAACCCACAAGTACGACAGTGAGCTTGTTCTGTTCTCAACAACCGAGCAAACACAGAGTTTGATTTGAGACTGTGAGAACTGCAGGTTCTTCGAAATGTTCGAAACATGATCGATCGGAGCCAGTAGCCGGGCCCAATGTTTTGGTACGAGGGTTACTACTGCATTTTAGAATATCTCCAGTCCCCAAATTGGGGCTGCCCACCGGCTTTGTACTGCCCGAAACTCTGTTCAGCGTCCAGTTTTCAAAACTGTATTCTATGTCGTTAATCTGAATTGCTAGACCAATCTGTCACAATCTTTGGTCCCTACGGAGTTTCTATCTCAGCTACAGCTTTTCTTCTTTTCAGCATCTCTCTTACGAAACATGGCGCTTCCAACCACAATGCAGGCCCAAGTCCTGAACGCTTTTAACACCCCCTACGAACTCACTACCCGACCTATCCCCCCTCCCCCCAACAGGCCATGATATCCTCATCCGCGTCCACGCAGCCTCATACTGCCACACCGACGCCGTCTACGCCTCCGGCGCCATGGGCAAAACCCTCCCCTTGGTCCCCTGCCACGAGTTCGCCGGCACCGTCGTCGCCCTCGGCCCCGCCGTCCCAGCCTCCAGCACCCTCCAAATCGGCACCCGCGTCGGCGTGCCAGGTCGCGCGTACCATCCCTGCGGTCGTTGCAAGGAATGCGTAAACACAGAGGATGAATCCGGCTACTCCGTTTACTGCCCTAAGGCCGGCAACAACGGCATCTCGCGCGATGGCGGCTTCCAGCAATACACCCTCGTCGATGCAAGACAGGTCGTGCCGATGCCGGAGGCGTTGTCGTTTGTGGAGACCGCGCCGCTCATGTGCGCGGGGCTGACGGTCTTCGCGGCGCTGAAACGCTGTAATCTGCAGCCTGGTGATGCGGTGGGCATTGTGGGCTGCGGTGGCGGTTTGGGCCATTTGGGCGTCCAGTTCGCGCTCGAGATGGGCTATCGGGTCATCGGTGTCGATAATGTGGACGCTCCGCTTCGGCTGGCCCGGAGCTGCGTCGAACCCGATCTCCGCCGCCGCCCACATTTTCGACGCGAGGACCACGGACGCCGATGCGGTTCTTGCGTCCCTGGCTGAGTCGACGGGGGCGGAGTCCTTGCCCTCCGAGCGCGGCATCCCGGCCGTTCTCATCCTGCCGGAATCCCAGGCCGCTTTTTCATTCGGGATGTCGCTCCTGCGTCCGCATGGTCGGTGTGTGGTAGTCTCGTTTCCGGAGAAAGGGTTCGCTTTCAGCGCGAAGGATCTCGTGTTTAAAGACGTCGAGATCGTGGGTAGTCTCGTTGGGAGCAATCGGTGCGCGAGAGAGATGCTGCAATTGGCGGCGCGCAGCAATGTTAGGGCGAGGGTGAGGACATGGAGTTTGGAAGCGTTAAATGAGTTGGTGGAGGCGTATAAGAAGGGAGAGGGGGGAAATTGGTGGTGGATTTGGAGGCGTCGGGGCTGGGCGAGTTGAGTAGGCGGTGAGTTCTTAGTGAATTTGCAGCGGGGAGGAGATTGGAAAGAGTGAGATCATCTATTGACTTTTCTTTATACCATACCTTTGATCATTGGGCAGCGCGAAAAGTTGATCTAGGCATAGAGGGAGGCTACCAATGCCCTGTGAGAGACAGCGCTATTACCTAAAGCGTGTTATCTTCTCGGCACATGAATTCAATAAGAGAGAAACGTCAGGCATGCTATAAGGATACGCATCTCTACATCAGCTGTTGTGACAATCACGCCGAATGCAGCAGATATTTACAGCTCATTAGATTTTTGCGAGTTCGATATGTACAATTTGCCACGCGCGGCACCTCACTTGGAGACTCCAACGAATCCACTACTTGAAGAAAAATCCTGTTCTTCAAGCTTTTTCCTCATGGGTATAGTCGACTCCCACAAGACTCATATCTTGAATCTTCTTATCGAGGTCATCTTCCTGGTCATGCGTGATATGAACGGCGACAGGGTCACCAAATAGCTCATTGATCTCTTCCAGTGAAAGGCCTTTGGTCTGTTATGCAAGTCAGTAATGATGAGGCAAAGCTACTATGAGCAAGATATACGCACCTCGGGGAAAAACACCCAAACCAATGTGAAGGTACAGACATCGAGGCAAATGAAGACAAGATAGAACTTCCAGCCTATGTGAGTAAAGCCTGTGTCTACTTTTAGTATCGTAGCTGCAGTGACCACTGGTTCGGTGTCGACCTACTGACAGGCGCCACGCCAACGAACAATGCCGCCGCGGCCGTTTGGGCAAAAAGGCTCAATGCGACACCAATGCTTCTGAATTCCATAGGGAAAGCCTCTGAAACGACGACGTATTGTTGCGCATCGATAAACGTGGCATAAAACACCACGTAAAAGAAAATGAAGAAAGTGCCAAAGCCCAGTCCAACTTTGTTTGGTGTCTCTTGACCAACGAAATATTTGGTCAGGGCGGCTTCAAACGCCAGACACGTGGCTGTCCCCGCGATACCTATCAGAAGGCAGATTTTGCGGCCGAAGCGGTCCATGAGGGCGGTCGCGGCCACGATGTTGCCTAGCATGCCGACGATGTTCCAGATTGCGAAGAGTAGGATTGGAATCCCGCCTGTAATGCCGAGCCCGGTGTAGAGAGTGACTTGGTAGTCTGGTTTCCGACGCCGATGCTTAGCATGCTTCAGACCTAGGGGCATGCAATGATCGACTTACTGTTCACGACAAGATTACCAGAGCACGCGCTGCTGAGTGTTGCGCCACAGCCAATCAGGATTCTGCGCCGGTAGCTCGCCTTCTTGAAATAATCCCACCAGTGTACAACCCCAAGATTTTGTTTTTTCTGCTCATCTAGCGCAAATTGCTGGGTCATCTGGTAGAATTCTTTGCGAGCGAAGGTGTCGTCTGGGTCATCTGGTTGAGCGTGGAGCCTCTGGATGACTTGGAAAGCCTCGTCGTTACGTCCCTTCATAAGTACTGTTTTACCGTCAGCAACCTTCTGGAAGAAGAGACTTGAATGGCGTACACCATCGAGGACTTTCTGGTAGCTTCCAACTGCCAGACAGTAAGATCAAGGTGGGTATCAGTTGCACTGCGAAGGGAAATCGCCATTGGAATGATGATGTTGAGTCATAGTAGCATCCGAAACCGACAAAACCCGTGAGAGCATAGCCCAACCCAAGAGCAATTCCATGGAGTCCTACGTGGAAACCCCGATGCTTGGGTGGAGAAAGCTCTGCTTGGTAGAGTGGAACTGCGAGTGTTAGCCGGCGCCGGATACGTAGCAACCTTTGGGCCTTACCTCCACAGACCATCTGACCAACGCCCCAGCCCATGATGAAGCGGCTTGCGAGGTACATGGCGACATTTGCCGCGCCTGCCATCAGAGCGGCGCCGAGAATGCAGACCATGCAAGCAATCTGAATTGTTCGCAACCTTCCAAAAGCGCTCGCGGTATATGCAATAGACAATGATCCCAAGGCGCCACCAGCGAAGAACAAGCCGTTCATCGCGCCTGTGTCTGTGTTAGTAGAGAAAGCGAGCGAGAGAGGTTGCAACAGTATGCAGATGGTTCACCTAGGATCGTGTTTGTCCGAGACAGACCAGGACCTTTCTGCGCAAGGGCGAAGTAGTTGTAAAATTGAGGCTGTCCAATGACTTGGCCAATGATACTTGCAGCGTAGCCTGATGGCTGGTGTTAGAAGATTTCAATGCTTTCATCCTGCCTGACCTATCTTACCATAGGTAATGGAGCCAATCGCTGCAAAGATGGTGATGTATGAAGTGTGCCGATTTCTCTTCGCCATATCTTCGAGCTTCAGATTCTTCTGTGTATAAAAGGTGAAGAGAAAATGGAAACTGGAGTAGATACCAGCGATACTCACAGCAGTCTTATTGTCGGTTGTCTGGAACGATGAGTCTGTTGGTCGTCGAGACCGATAGCGTTGGGTCTTTTTGTGGAGAACGGCATTCCATACAAATACGCGTTGCTCGGCCACAATCCCCAAATTGGAGCTCAGGGCCAGCGACGTTTCATACTTTTCCCGTGATCAATGCTAAACGCGGCCACCCAAGCTCCATCCCCAGATACCTCAGAGTCGGGGCGGTGGTAATTGACTTTACCCCACACTGAAAGTCTAGATCCGACCGCTGTTGAGATTTCCCCGCACTGCGAGATTCGGGGTTATGGAGCTTGACCAAAGGCAGTCACTGGAGCCCACCGGTTGCAGCCAGCTTGCAGCGACAGGGGAGAAGTACGCAGTTCGAGGCGTGTAAAACTGACAGTTTTCCTCCTTCTAAGTATGAGGCTAATTACAACGGGTACATGGTCATTTTGTTGCCAACTCAGATTCAACTGTTGAAGTCGGTATTCATTGCTGAACCATCAATCTGGCCATTCCCACGGGCTATAACGAGGGCTGACCATTTAAGATATCGAAGACTTTGATCATGCAACAGTCTCGTAAGTTTAAGGCTCTAGCATGTCTGCATAGAGATTTAGTGACCTTCCAATGACGTCAATCATCTGCCAGATGCTGTCCGATCGGAAAAGCTTTGCCCAGAGTCGAACTACTGCGGCACTAAGGTGTTTCCCATTCCCTACTGGCTGCTCCGGAGGAGCGGCATACTCCGTTTCAGCTATCATTTGCATCACAAAATTCAAAAGCTTGTTCTCCTCTACAGAAAGAGGAGGCTCTGGCATAGGGATCGTGACTGACTCTAGCCATTTGGTCAACAAGAGGGCGCACTCCAAAGAACAAAGAGCGTGCTGCGTGGACCAGAAGAACATTTGGGTGTGGGCGACAAAGTTGATGCCCAATTTGATGGGTATGCTTAGCGCATGGGCACAATGCAAAGCAGCTCTGGTCATCCTTTTACCTCGTCCTACTGGCGAGCTCCTCTTTATTGACATTGCGATCTGCGACGGATCCCAGCTGCGCAGTGATCGGATGGGCCCAGTATCCACGTTGATACGAATGTAGGCTATGCGCAGCAATGCCAAAGAGTTAAATGAGAGTGGGCCGTGAGGGCTCAACGGATCAACAGAGGACTCGGGATTTCTTGCCCAGCTTGTCTGCCACGATCGCAACGCGTGTTCGAGCGTGATCAAATCTGCTAACGGTGAGGGCTCAGACCCTGCAAGAGTATAACGGGCTATCTGCTGGATGAACCAAATATGCTGGACCAATGCGTGTATGAGGATGTACCCGCCAAGCGTAGAAACGTCGGTCGTCCCGCTATCCTTGCTGCGTCCATTAAAAAGTTTGGTGAAGGCGCCTTGGAAATTTGGCTCAGGCTTCTCCTTCTGGCGTATTTGAATCCAAGCCTCTGCAGAAGTGGATTTCCACTGCGCTTCACTACAGGGAAGATCCATTCCGAGTGTCCGGTTCAGTATTAGGGAGGGGGATGTCGAAGGTAATGCAGTGAAGATTGAAGAAGCAATAGATGATGAACTTAGTCCTTTTGCTTCCTTCATGCTCTATCCAATGCTCCCAATTAGTGTCTTGCACCAGATGCTCTGGTCCCAATCCTTCATCATGGACCAAACTCTCTAGCTGGCTTCGCATAGTCATTGCGGCCCTTGCCAGAGTCGTATGCTCAAACCATGTTGCCATGGCCATGAGGAGCAAGAGGGCCTGTGCTGTTTCAATAGGCTTCCCAAGTAGATCCGCGGAGGTCTGAAAGTCAGCTTCAGAATAGGGCGAAGCATCCTGACCATGATGGGATCTGGAGAGCAAATATTCGTTATTCAGTCCTGAAGGCCTCGCGTTTCTACAGTCTCGCTCACGGATAGACTCCATGGCAACTGCCTCAGCAGCGTGAAAAATTTGCAAGCTTTTTTCAGGCTCTCTACAATATTGCGCACCAACAGCTGCAATAGCAAGGATGAGCTCAACGGAGGCGCTCGAAGTCGATACGGTGGGTATGTGGAGGAAAGGAAGATGTTCGTGGAAGCCTGTCACATAGCCGCCCAGATACCGTGATAGAGCGTGGCGGGTCGGCAGGACAAAAGACTTCGGGATAACACGTCGAAAACGCTCGAGTCGACTACCCAGGATTGTCCGTGAATGAGTTGAGATTTCCAACAAAGAGCTACGGCTTCTTTCGGAAGGACGAGCCGACTGTGGCCGTTCCTTTGGATGCCCTTCTGGCAGTTCTTCTGGCTGCAATGAGGGCAGTCGAGAACCAAAACGAGAAAAGCCAGTTTGATCTGTGTTTACCAGCCGCAAATTTGCGTCAGCGTTAGTACTGAAACTCGGCGGAAGAATATCTGGCATCAAAATCATTGGATCTGGCGAAAAAGAGGGCAAAGGCTGCTCGAATTGGGAGATGGTTGAGAACATTTGAGTAGGTAGAGTAGCGTTGTCAAGCAACATTAGATAATCATCGAAATCTGCGAATGGCAGCATCTGGGAGGCTGCGGTCTGATCTTCAAGATGGAGGCCGGGTGATGTGAATGGCTGAGCGACCTGCAGCGTGGCATTTGGCTCACCATCCAAAGTGGTCATACCATCAACATCCGGCATGATGTCATCCTGTCCCAACAACTGTGCAGATGGAGAAAAGATCTGGTGTCCATTGAAAGGAGTGTTGATGGAGCTACGTTGGTAGATCGCTTCATCGGTCACGATCTGTTGATATGTATCTGATCGGGATGGAGTTGTTGGCAGCTCTTCTTCTCCCAAACCAAGAAAGGTGGAAGTGGAAGATCTTGAACGTGGTGATTGAGCTGCGCCAAGTGTAGGACTAGTAGCGGAGTGTGCCAATCTCTTATGTCGTAGAAGGAGGTCGCTACGAACTTCTCAGCATTAGACCTCCTCAAAGGATGCAATTTTGTCTCTGACCTTCTGGTAAAGGCGTGAGGGCACACTGCGCATTGGAAGGGCTTTTCTTTGGTATCTATATTGGCCATGAGTTCATTGTCGCTCAGCCGCCAAAATCCATCCCAAATACATACGGGATCTTCGGTGGCGCTGAAGATGCTCAAGTCTGGCAAAGCTTCGAGGGCAAAGTGTGCAATCGAAGTTCTTCTTCTTGTTGGTACTCATGCTTTAGGAGTCATGGTGCTCAATACGAAAATGCTTTGCTTGAGGCGAGGTGGTTGTCGGTCTGCGGACCTCACGGTGTCATTGTGGGAAGCTCGCCATCCGCCATTGGAACATATCTCAATCATTACACGTAAGGAATCGGCAATTGATCTTGACGCGTTGCCATGAAGACGAATATTCTTAGCAATTTGAAGGGACAGCAGTGCACTATATGAATTATGAATTGATTGTCAAGGAAGAGAATTTCCGCCCCCTGAATGAAGTTGACGAAGTCTTGGCACCAGTCACAATTACCCCTCTTCTAACGCTTAATTCTATTAGCGCCTTGGCGGTAGTGAAAATCAACAATGGCCTGTCACAACTCCGCTCCATGTAAATAGAAGGACAACATCATCCTTCGAGCTCATCCAGACAGAACCGTTTTCAAAGCATCCATCTGATACCCTTGGCCTGCCCAGAAGTATACACCACCGCTAATCCTCTGTCCCCCAGCCCAAGCCCAAGCCCAAGCTCAAGCCCAATGCACGCCTCAAGCTTTGGCCTTCTCTGGCTTGTATTCTCCAGCCGCAGTCATTTCATTGATGACTCTCTCCGCAATCTTGAATCCTTCCAATCCCGCCGGCATACCACAATATACCGACACTTGAAGCACCGCTTCTCGAATTTCGATAGGTGTCAGTCCGTTGTTGATGGCTCCCCTGATATGATTCCCCAATTCCGGCCCTCGATTCAGCGCCGACAGCATGCCAATGTTCAAGAGACTGCGCTGCTTGCGGTCCAGTCCTGGACGATTCCACACATGACCCCAGCACATCTCAGTCACTAGGTCTTGCATCGGCTTCGCGAAATCACTCGAACCGCCTGCCAGCGCTTTGTCGACGTATGCATCACCGACTACCTCCCTGCGCGTTTTGATGCCTGCGTCGAAAAGCTGCTTATGGAGAGCCTCGATATCTGATGAGGATTGCATGGTGAAGAGAGGCTGATAATTAGGCTTGGGTGGATAAACGGTGGGAGTGAAAAGAATGTTGATGCAGTATTTCAAATTCTTAGACTTGCGAATTTCACTGTTGGGGTGCCTGCTTTTTGGCCAACTGACGTGTCAATGAGCTGTTTATGAGGAGATGGCTTTGTATTATTGTTGATTGGCAATCTGCACTGCAAGGTTGCCGAAGCTTCCGATGTTCAGAGAAAAGGTTCCCCACCTTCCCCATCTTCTCCAAATTGGGGTCGAATTTAGTTTGCACCCCGCAAACACGACTTATCGAACACAACCGTCATCTCGGCTATTTTTCGTAAGGCTCTAACCACAAGAAATATTTACAGACGATCAGTCTCCTCAACTTTCCCCGCCAACACCCACATTCTCTAATCCAATTTTCGAGAGACACCACCATCCACCATGACAGTAACCAATGGTCACGGTGAACTCCCTGCGGTCACGTATGGCTTCATCGGTATGTCTCATAGCTTTGGATTTCGAAGAGTACACTTGGTTCGCGTGGCTAAAGTATTAACAGGCCTTGGCAACATGGGATACCGCATGGCTAAGAATCTGCGATCAGAACTCTCAGCTGACTCGGCTCTTGTGGTTTGCGAGGTCGTACAGTCTGTGCTGGACAAGTTTGTGGGTGAGACGAAGGGACTGATCAGGGTCGCCAATACCCCCAAGGAGGTTTCCGAGCAGAGCGTAAGCTGCGACAATGCACCGATAGAAATCGGCTCGCTGACAGACATGAAGGACATCATCTTAACTATGCTGCCAGCGGGGAAACATGTCAAACAAGTCTTTACCGACCAATCTAATGGCCTTCTCTCCATCTCAAAATCTTCGAAGCCGAAACTTTTCATCGAATGCAGTACTATTGACGTCCCAACGTCTCTGGAGGTTGCTGAAGCCGTGTCGCAATCCGCTCTTGGCTCTTTTGCTGATGTCCCTGTATCCGGTGGTCCCACCGGCGCCGAAGCAGCTACTCTTACGTTCATGGCAGGCGGCTCTACAGACGTCATCGGAAGAGTAAAGCCCATCGTGATGACCATGGGCAAAACATTTTTCCACTGCGGCGGCGCGGGTGCAGGACTCGCCACTAAGCAGATCAATAACTACATATCAGGCATTTGTATGCTTGGGACTGCGGAAGCAATGAACTTGGGAATCCGCTACGGCCTCGATCCGAAAGTGCTGGCAGGCGTCATCAACTCTAGCACCGGGCGATCGTACAATAGCATAGAGCAGAACCCCGTCAAAGGCATCAGCCCTAATAGCTCAGCAGAACGAGATTTTGAGAATGGCTTTTCCATCGAGCTTTGTAAGGGCGTTTTGCACATGGCAATCAATTTGGGGGAGAGAGTTGGCGCAAGGCTCCCGCTGAGTCAAGGCCTGATCGACACTTATGAGGCGGCGAGCATGGATGATAGGTGTAAGGGCAAAGATTGCAGAAGTGTGTACAGGTATGTTGCGGATAATTGAGCCGTTGTTTGCAATAAGATCGTCGTCGGGGCGTAAAACATTCTTTTTGACTGCAGTTACATTTCTTACCATACATGGGACTCATATAAGATAGCGCTCTGATGTTCAAGTATGCGCATCAAGTGATTGTCGGAGACAATGGATTCTTTTTGGGATGTGTTCCGAGCGGTGCGGCTAAACAAAGCGCCTGCTGCATTGTACCCCGCTTCCCCAATTTTCGCACAGGCCCCAAGATGGAGATCGCGTCGTTCGAAGAGTTTATGCTTTTGGACTCATAATCAAAGTCAGGTAAAGCCGTCTCTTAGACTCTTACACTTTCAGATACGCGACAACAATGTCGCCCTCACCATCCTTCCTTCCTCGCCGCGCACCTCAGCAAAACTATGTCACAATCTCCGCCCTCCACAGCGGCACCTTGACACTCCCAAGTCACTTGTTTATCACTCCCACATCATCCTCTGCCCGTCGCACCGTCCCCTCATTGTCATTCCTAATACAGCATCCCTCTCCTCGCACACTTACAGAGAATGATCCATCTCCCACCCGTCTCCTCTTCGACCTCGGACTCCGCAACCCGCTCTCCACATACGCCTCACCGATTCAAAAACACCTCGAGACGCGGCACCCAATAAGCAGCGATCATGACGTAGTTCGAAGCCTCATGCAAGGGGGCTTGAAGCCGGATGAGGTGGATTGGATCATTCTGAGCCACGTCCACTGGGATCACATCGGCACGCCTTCATTGTTCATGAAAAGCAACTTCGTAGTGGGTGCTGGGAGTCTGCAATTGTTGCAAGGCTGCGGGGATCAGTCATCGGGCGGACACGCGCATTTTGAACCGGATTTGCTGCCCGAAGGACGCGTCTTGGAATTGCCTAGCACTGCGACGCTTGGCTCGGCCCCGACAAAGAATGGCGCCACAAATGGGACTGAAAAGAAAGAAGGTTCTTCGAGCGCCCATCTGCGGTCAGCCCGCTGGCAACCCCTGGCGCATTTCCCGCACGCCATCGACTTTTTCCACGACGGTAGCCTCTACCTAATCGACGCGCCGGGCCATCTTCAAGGGCACACCAACATTCTTGCGAGAATCGGGCCGGAAAAGTGGGTCTATCTGGCCGGTGATGCATGCCATGATCGGAGGATTCTTAAAGGGGAGGTTGGTATTGCGACGTGGGAGAATGAGGAAGGGAAGGTGTGTTGCATTCACAGTGATGTCCATGAGACGGAAATGACGCTTGAAAGGATCAGGGCGTTGGGGAATGCCTCGGAGGAGGTGGAGGTCATTTTGGCGCATGATGTGGACTGGGCGCAGGACGAGGTGAACGAGGCTAGGTTTTGGCCTGGGACTTTGTAGTTCCCGAGCGGAATGATTGGCAATCATTTTTTCCGATCTTGACAGGACAGCAGCAGCTACTTGTTGCCGTGAAGCATATTATGCATACCAATCACGTCGATTCCTCCTATCGCTGTGTTCTTAGAGCGAGCGTCTAGATAAGGCTGCGTATGGCGAAAGGTTACTATCGAGAGGAAGCAAAGGGGTTGCTGCATACGATTTCGCCTACCTGTATCTAAGAAGGTGGGATTATCTATGCTTGCTGCAGGAGCCTTCATCTACATATACTCAACTTCCAATTACTTTGGAGACTTTAGATTTTCGGCTCGACCTCAGGTCTTCCAATGGAACCCTTCCTTCAAACAGGATCACATCATCCACCAAAGCGACCTTCTCTTCCCAAAAGACGCCGGGTTCCTCTAAAGGGAGCACCTCTGCCACCCACAACGTCAGACCATCTGAATCATTCAAAGCCCCATATCCACGACTCCAGAAACTTCGATCAAGATTTTCCCGTCCTTAGTACCAGCAAACTCAAGTCCTCCATGAGTCCTTCACGAGAAACATAACCTCCTCAACCTTCATGCACACTCTCAGCAAACACTTCGATGAGGGCAGTTCAGCCTGCAATGACATGAACCTTCTATCTTCTAGGCCAGTTCGCCAAAGTATCCTAGTCGACTGATTTTACATGTATCCCTACATCTTTGGATAGCAACAGATCAGATAAAATCCTGGATTACTTGATCAACGCATGGCAACAACCAGCGGTCCAGCATTTTAGATGGTTGTTCCGAGAGATCTCTCGAAAGGCGAGAACATGTCACGGAATTTGCAGCAAAGAAACTTTATTCTTTGGGATGTGGGTTGATATCCTCGCGGCATTGCCGTCTTTTTGACCGACGACCTGATCAGAAGGGAATGAGTCTTAGGTTCTGAAAAATAACGAAAGAGGACGAGGATAGCACTGTTAGAACGGAGCCATACTATCAATGGAGAAGACCGCTGGAAAGATGCGCATTGCTCGCTGATATTAGGAGAGAAGAATGCGTGGAGGAGGAGGGGGGAACGTTAGTTGCCTAGAACGTAGTCAGATCATGGGAGTGAACCGTCACTTTTCAGCCAAAACAACTCCTTTCTATTGCAGGTATGCACAAATCGAGTCGAAGCCTTGCCTTACCTATACTGGGTTCCATTGACGTTCTGCCAAATATACCAAAAATATACCTTGGTCCAGTCAAAGCGAGACATAGCCTTGACTGTTGGGACCTTGCCATCCGACGGACAATATATGTCTGGGACCCTTCCTGGGAGCGTGTTGAGATTTGCTGCAGCACCTGTGTTGTAGCCACCCCGCCATGGTGGCAGAATAGAGGTATAAGTAGCCTTCTCTCAGCACTCTCATAGCTACTTAAATAAATAAATCAATCCTTCATACATTTCCAACAGAGCGACTGGCGCACGATCGTTGGATTACTAGTGATCAAGGGTGTCAAGCCAAACTATGGATGGTGGAACGTATCAAACGAAGCATACAAATTCGTGATGTAACTGCAAGTTCATCAGACCCGACTTTGAGAAAATAGCTCGGGCTATAAACAATCTTTCTTATACTGTATCTCGAGAATGGTGGCTCTGGGCCAGTATTGAGGGTTGTTTCATTTGGAAAGGACATGCAGTATACTGCTATATCACACGTGTAAGAACCTGAGGACTCGTTTTGGCTTTTCAAGTAGTCTCAAGCCTCGCTTCTAATCAATATTAGGTGGTTGGAAGGTCTCAGATATCCGCGCAGTAATAAGACTGCCCCTATGTCAAATCAGGAAGATGGCACGTCTTGTCTCCGCCCTTCCTGCCCCTCAGCAGCCAACCGACTGGGATGAATCAAGTGTCGATAGACTCTGGCGGAAAGCCAAGCCCCAAGATCTGACGAAAGTGTCTCAACATCCCACGTGCAATGGTCTTCGGTATTTATGGATAGAGACACTTTGTGTCCCAGATGGACCGCAAGAGGTCCGGGACAATGCAGTCTTGCGGATGAGGTCGGTCTACAGTAGAGCTGCAAGGGGTTTTGGAAATGGACCCAGAGCTCAGGCGTTCCACGATCAACAGCACTTCGAGGAGAAACTAATGCGCATCACCTGCTCGACTCGGATCCGCGGGCTTTGAGCCTTACAAGAGCCTGTCCTGGCTGCATAAATTTTCTTCCAGTTTGACGGAGAATATCTTGTGATACCAGAGTCACCTCTATACGAGAACCTCTATCTGATTGTCACCTAATCCCTCGCCTCGTTGTTTTCTTTGGAATATGGAGCCATGATATTGGTGGCTGCCTCGCCCAGATGTAGCTTGCCATAAAGAAGGTCTTCTAATGCTACCGCTTCTGATGTATTCGAAAGGTTCCCTTCAGATCACCTCTTGCTGCACCAGAAAATAACATATACCAGTGGAAATCAGGGTGAAGAAAGAATGGATGTAACTCTAAGAATCTTGTGATATTCACCCTCTGAGGGATGAGGGTGACTGTGAACTTGAGGAATTTCAGATCACGAACGTGATGTATTGATGATCAAACCCCTAAATGTGAGGTCAGTCATTTGAGTAACCTGGCTGACTGAAAGGGGACTAGCCTTATAATAGGGGCTGTACGTCTGATGGGAAGGAGCTGTAAGTGTAACCGCAGCCAACACCTAACAAACATGGGGCTGTACCTTTAAGAAGAAGGGACTGTACGTCTCATGGGAAATCGGATGTGGAAATGGGAGTGAGGCTTTCGGGCTTGTGTACTTCCTGGGAGGCGTTTAGTATCCGATTGGTTTCATTGGCCGTGAGTATCGGCCAAACGATCTCCCGAATCTCGGCTAATGACGGTTTCAGTCGGCCAGCGGGCTGGCAAATGACCCCCAAGACTTTTAAATGACGCATCAGTTAACGGCAACGAAAACTTCATAGCTCCATCAGAAACGGCCATCGCAAGCATTAATGTTGCATATTTTTTAAAATAACGTAGTATGAATGACGTTGAAGCAAATTTCTCTTGTGCGATGAATTCCGCACAGCCTCAAAGACGGAATATATAAAGGGGCAGGGCTTCTGCTTTCAGGTTGGCATTATCCAATCAAGACTCCATCCACACATTCATAACTTACAGCATCACACCTCTACCTGATTCATCAGAGAAGAAATTTCCCAGACAATCTCCTCCAAAGAAATCAACCACCTAACCACCAGACCACATATCCAAACACCAAACAGATCTCTCACCCACCGTCAACAGCAACAATGTCCGACGCTCTCATTTTCGAATACCTCTGCTCTCCCCGCTCCAGCAAGCGCGGCACCCAAGCATTCCACCACAACCACCCTATCATGGACTCCTCACCTTCGTCATCGAACAACCACTCCGACGTCCGCGCACCCATCAGCAGCAAGGGCGGTGAGAGCAAGAGGGGAAGCCTCAATTGGATCAGGGGAATGGGGAGGAAGGCCTAGGCTCCCATTTTGCCAACTGCTTCGGATAGATTTGCGCGAGTCATGCTTCTAATTTGGGGTCAAAGCGTTGGTTCTCGTGCTCATCGAGTTTGCTTCGTATGACGTTGGTAATACTTGGCTTGGGCAGCGGATAGTACTATGGATTCTCCCGTAGCTAGATACTTTGTTGGCGTTCAGCTAATATGTATAGTATATTAATCAACAATATAACAATTAATGCAAGCACTGAGCATTCTCTCTCCCTGGACAGCAGGGATCCTTGTGACATACGAATGTGTCAGGGCGGGTATTGGGCTCATGATCTTGATCCAGCCACTGACCAGTGGCCCAAGGTATCGCCAACGTGCCTACAGGAAAAGTCCCGTGGAGCAGCAGTGGAAATACAGCACGCAGCTCACCAGAGATCCGGTAAATTTGCGGCCCTGCCAGCCACAAGCGCGCAATTACTTACCAAAACAACGGTCCTCTCTCACTCACCCTGCTGAAACCCAACGCTACGTTGATACTAGTATGTCTTTCTCATCAAAAGGAGAAGCTAAGCCGAATGAGTATATTGCAGTTGAATCTGCAGAATGTGGATTACCCTAGCGGCATCCTGCAACTCAGCAGAGATAGATTCCATGATCCATCTGACGAGATTCATGGCCAGATAATGAGAAACATCGACGGTCTAGAGACTGTTTGCGCCCTCATGACAGTCGGTTCTCAAGTCAAGGTGCCCTTTGGGGCAATTTGACTTGCTATGCTGCTTCGTGCAATGGACATCTCCGCATGGCTTATCAATCCTAGGCCTCATACGCACGGACGTGATCATTCACCAATACCAAAAAAAAGGATTGCGGGCTTATTTCAGTACTTCCCTGATTCCGCGACATCATGCACAACGCCGTGTGGTGTTTGAGACAAAGGGTGTCTTAAGGATTCCAGCTCAGCCGATGGATGTCGAGAAAGCGAGGCTTGTCCTTAGCGCTCGAATGTCCGAAAAGCCTGAGTTTCCCACGTTAGCGTTCTTTGAATGTTTGATGACTAGATCTTCACGGTAGTGGACCAGTGTCTTGTAATGGGTTTTAATGTCATTCTTTGGTGTCTGGCACCATAAGCTACGAAGAAGCATAGAGGATTCGGGAGGCACTCGATACTGGCAGGATACAGCTATCTGGGGTTTATTCTCACAACGAAAGGAACTTTTGCAGGCTCGATATATGGTTTGAGAAAGCTTGACTCGCTATAGAAAAGAAAATTGCAGTCAGATATAATGCCAAAGTAAGCTGCGATTCCCCAAGAGGCTGCTGACTTTGGAATTAATTAGGCTTTCAACGAGTTCAGGCACTAGACAGGTATCGAGATACGGGTATTTATGTTGCTACTGTTGCAGTAATGATAACCTCTGCTTGGGTAAAAGGGGTCTGTGTGTGTGATTCGGTCTTATGATGCGTGAGCGCCATGTCTCGCCGTTAGCGGTTCGGGCTAGTCTACTTGTAGATCAAACATCTACTCGTACTAGCTTGAAAATGACATCATCAGCCGCAAACTAGTACTTATGTTTCAATTAAATTTCATCGATGCTTTCCTTCATCTATTGACATTATTTGGCGCCATAGGTTGCTGCATGTGCGGGCTTGCTCTTCAATGAGAGTCAAGCTCAGGCTACAGCAATACTTACGTTGTTTTCCTGCCGCTCAAAGCCGACACTGGGTCAATATTGATAGACTTTTCCCCCAGACGTGAAAGCTACTCATCGACGGCAAGACCTAACGCTTCCCTTCTACTTGATGCGTCCTCTTGAAAGTAAGGAGCTTCAGCTAGAGCTGTGACCCTTGTGCCGTGTCTAGGTTGGCTACCTTCGTAATCCCAGCTCGCGTTGTGAATGGTAATTCTGCAAAGACCGTTAGCATCGTCCAGATCTAGCATTGAATCTACTCCACCAAGGTCAGACCTACCTATTGTCCCACAACGCACTCGTACGCGGCGTCCATTTGAATCGAACCTGTATGTCGACGTTCTTCTCATAAACATCATACAGATACCCGAGGATGAGATCGCTCTCGGCCTTGTCTAAGCCCACAATCCTGACGGTCATCGCTCGATTTACCCAGAGCGCCTTCCACCCAGTCGCAGGATGGACCCTCACCAGTGGATGGACACGCTCCACGTACTTGGGCCCGGCCGTGGGATCATCTCGGTCAAGGTAGGCATGAGCAGAACGGTAGACAGCCTTCTTGCCGTCGATGATCTTGCGAAAGTTGGGCGAGAGCTTTTCGTAAGCTGAGTAACCACTGGCCCAGAGAGTGTCCCCTCCCACTGTAGGAACGGTGTCGTTGTGAAGATGGGTTACCCCTGCCGGCTGGCGTTCGTGTACTAGGTCCGAATGCCAGCGGGAAGCGCCCCCTGGATTGCGGAAGTTGGCTTTGGCTTCTGTTGCTTGCAGCTCCGGCCAGATTACTGTTACGCCAGCGACACCTGGCACCTGGGGTACTTGAGGCTGGAAAATGGTCAGTCTCAAGGTCTTCGTGACAGATAGTTGCCGGGGGGGGGGGCTTACATGCACTTCAACCTCTCCATACCATTCGCCCAGAGACCTCTGCTGCTGCGGCGATATATCCTGGTCCCGGAAGAAGACGACGCTCCTTTCGGCGATAAGCAGACCCAGCTCGTCTTTCTGTTGGTCGGTCAGATCCTTCAATTGTAACCCTACTATCTCAGTTCCAATATGCGCAGTCAAGTCGACGACCTTCTCGGCGGCAGAGAATAAAGCACGCTTTGCGGGATCGGCTCTTGCGCCAGGGTCGACATGCTCGCGGTGGTAATCGCGGATCTTTTGGACATCTTGTAGGTACAAAGGCTTCGCAGGGCGATAGGGATACCCGCTGGATAAATCTATTCCGGCTTTTTCGAGCCGCTTGCGCGATTCGGTAGGTAGGTTCAGCGTGTCCTTCTTTGGCTGGACGACGTCGAGTATTACTGGGTCAATTGCAGTCGGTGCCATGTTTTATGCGTCAGGGTTTTTAAGAAGTTCGAGACCAAAATGATTTCGATTGGCATTTCCTCGCATTCATATCCTCCTTTCTTGAGTAGACCCTTGCCTCTGGAACATCTACTACACTTTTTGCAAACCGGTCTTCCGCGCCTTGATTGTAAATCAATGTTGAGCGGGGTAGATCACGCAATTCTGTCAATCTTCGACTAATGCTGTTGTGTGTCTGACTTCACAACTCATCAACCATGCAGCTGTCACGCAATACTTACTCTACCCCGCTCATTGTCCGCTAATGCAGAATTTGCATCCTCCCACGGCCATCACATTTGCCGTATGCAAGGCTTCGACCAACAACATTGTGCCCATGGGGAAACACCATGCGCTGCAAAAAATCCCACGCCGTTATCTCTCGCTTGCCTTGCCACTTGCGCATTGTCGCCATCCTGGAGCTTAAGGCGTCATGAGATACCAACCGAAAGCCTTGCCGCATCGGCTTCGATACGCATTTGCTTGTAGTTCTTGCGGCACGGTTTTGTATCTTTTGGCCTCTAAGCCTAGAGCTCGGGTAACGTTGGCCATGTTCCATCAATACAACTGGCAAATGGACGCTTAAGGACTAGAGGCGTGTGCATCCACGAGAATGCGCTCTCTGTCGAACTACCCTGTTGTCTTCCGCTGGTGGCCGCGTTCCTCACAACAGCGAAGATGTTGGGAACTGTCCAGCACGCAATTGAAAGCCAAGTTCCGCCATGCATGATTAGACTGTTGAGATTTTCTGGGCGACCTTGAAACGGAGGAATGAATACGGCCACTCAGTCTCCTTTCTCTCAGTCTCTTTCGTTTGGTTCTTAAGCTCTCTGGTATCAGATTGCGATCAATTTTCCGCCTCTCAGCCATCATTTCCACCAGGATGCATCTTAATGAAGATCAAGACCGGCGAGAGCCTTGCGACAAGGCAGACTTGGTAATTCAAGAAAATGTTCAGCGAAAATGGCAGAGCTATCTATGGGATACACTTGACAAATCACCAGAGGAACGCACTTTCCTCTTCAAGCTTGACTTCGCCTTACTCACTTTTGCCTCCTTGGGTGCGTCGTCTACCGCCCTCCATGTGCGTCAAAGCTGACAACCACAGGCTATTTCATTAAGTATCTGGACCAGGCTAATATCAATAATGCTTTCGTGTCCGGAATGTAAGTATCTTAGAAGAGAGGTAAAACCCACGTCGTGCCTGCTAACACTGTTGGTGCGTGAAGGAAAGAGCAGCTGGGGTTGTATGGCAACGAGTTGAACTATATGCAATCGTGTTGGACTGCTGGTTATGTGATCGGGCAGATACCCAGTAACATACTTTTGACGCGAATTCGTCCATCTATATGGATACCCTCAATGGAGGTTCGGTCCCCAGCTCTGGTAGGGAATTGCTGTAATACTAAGATGACTGACTACCCCCCAACAGGTCGCCTGGACCGTGCTTACGTTCTGTTTGTGCCGTTGCACGAATGCACGTCAAATATACGCTGTTCGATTCTTCGTTGGTAAATTACTGTGTTTCTTGCACGCTTGATTGAGCTCGCTCATCTTCTTCACGCTGACATTCGGTTCTCAGGGCTTGCCGAAAGTTCCTTCTATCCTGGCATGCAGTATGTCATTGGTTCATGGTATAGGAAAGACGAGCTGGCGAAACGGTCTTGCATTTTCCATGTCAGCAGTGCGATTGCCACCATGTGCTCTGGCTACTTGATGGCGGCTGTATACCATTTGGGAGGAAGAGGCGGCTTCGCTGGATGGCAGTGGTCCGTATTTCTTTCCAGATAGTGGACATCTGGACTGAGTGACACCGATATAGGCTATTCATGGTTGATGGAATCATCTCCCTACCAATTGCCTTGGCCGGGTTTCTCTTCATCCCAGACGTGCCCGAGACCTCTCGCGCTTTCTACTTGAGTAAAAATGTACGTGGAGCCTTTCGACAGTATAAGCCACTATTGAGACTGAAGTCCGTGGCCTAGGATCGAGCATTTGCCAAGAAGAGAATGCAGCTCGAAGGTCGTAAGCCGCGAGCACCGTACACCAAGGCGAAGATACGGAAAATATTGACATCCTGGCATATATACGCACTCACGGCGCTTTACGTGTAAGCATTCGTTTCCTTCGACTTCTCGACCTCCGAAGACAATAGAAGAATAGAACCTGACAGCCTCAGCTTTTTCAATAATGGTGGTGCAGGCGCTGTGCCTGTGTTTGCCCAATTTCTCAAGGATTCAAAGCACCCCAAATATTCCATTGCTCAGATAAACGACTACCCAACGACGACGTATGCTGTCCAAATCATCACGACACTTTTGTACGCTTGGACCTCAGATTCCATACTTAGTGGAGATAGGCTACCGCCTATTGTATTTGGAGGAGTATGTTTTCCGCTCGACTCGTCTGTCCAAGTCGTTGCCCGAAGACTAACCACACATCTCAGGCCGTCAACATCATCTGCTACATATCTCTCGCAATCTGGGCTATTCCAGAGGGTTGGCGATGGACATGCTACATTCTGTCAGGTGCAGGCTTTGGCTTATCCGGTCTCTGCATGGCGTACGTGACGCTTTTCGTACGGACTTTTCTGATGCTGATGCTAATGGCTTCGCTCAGTTGGGCCCATGAGATTTGTGCTGATGACAACGAAGAGCGAGCCATCGTCGTGGCTAGTATGAACGAAATGGCTTATGTTCTCCAAGCGTGGCTTCCACTGCTTGTGTGGCAGCAAATTGATGCACCGCAGTATCGAAAGGGTTTTATCACCGTTACTGTCCTTTCCGCATCCTTGATAGTAACTGGGTTTATCACGAAAGCACTGCACAAGAATCAGATACGAAGGTTGGTCGAAACCTCTGAAATTTGGAGAGACAATGCTGATCAATCATTCACGTTAGGCAAAGCTACAACGTGCAGGCACGAGACCAACAAGTGGATGGCGAGACCGTGAGATCGTCTGGCGAAGACGTAATGTCTGAGCATGTGCAGATGGCTGCTAAAGAATAAGTCCCTGCAAGAAAAAGGACCACCCAGCGTAGGAGTTCATCTAACTTGGCACATGGGGGATTGCATGTGCGCCCCTCAACTACTGAAGATTGATACCCAAGTATGCCTCGGAACTGGAAGTAGCCTCATCTCTCGGGGTCAAGCTCTACAGTTAGCTAAGCTCCATGTGAATCATGCATCAAACCACAAAAGAAAATCTAGATTGAAAGCGCATTAGAACGGTCTTCACTGCAAATTCTCCGCAAGTACTTTACAGGAAATCGTGAGTAGCATAAGCGGCTATCAGGCAAGCTATGGCTGAAAGTAGAAGCAATCTCTGATCTTCACCAGCACCAAGGCTGTCCGGCATGGTCAACCCCCACATCATCCCCACCTCCACATCCAACAATTGCCATCAAAATTAGTGCTAGCGAATCCTTTCCACTACGTGTTCTGGTGCCCCCATTGCGTGCTTGATTGCGTGCTTGCGTACATGCATGAGGGAAGCCGCTAATCTAACCAATAAGATCGAACTGTATAATTGAACTTGTATTGTTGCTTATCTCGACGTAGCAAAACATTGAGAAGACACTTGCAACGATGAACAGGATTTTTCCTCTAGACAGGCCATGAGAGTGGGTATAATCGGCGCAGGCATCAGTGGTGTTGTTGCCGGAGCTCATCTCAAGGCAGCCGGCGTACTTGTCACGGTTTTCGAAAGATCCGGCGAGGCAGGGGGTGTATGGTAAGGAACGTCTGCTAGAACGGGTTCATAGTCTGACAGAAGTGTTTCAAGGCTCTACGATGAGCGGCTTCCACCAGAGCCGACTTACCCATCAATCAGACCTTCTGAAGCCGACTTTCACTATGGCGACGGGCAAAGCGTAAATGGCGAAAACCATCAGCCGTGCCCGTCTGCTGCTTGCGGGGACGTGAAGCACGCTCCACCAGGGTCAAGCGCTCACATGAGTATCTGCAACGGGTACGGGGCTGATCATATGAGAAGCGTACAGGCCGTGCTATGAGGGATTGACCAATAACGTTTCGACCAGATTGATGAAGCTGAAAATTAATTCGTGGCCACCAGGTACAGCGGACTTTGTTAATCATCGGGTGCTGAACGAGTACATCCAAGACACATCTTACAAGACTGGAGTTCATCTGACGACAAAATATAATACTCGGGTAGAGAAGGTCTTCAAGAGTGGTCAAGACTGGAAAATGCAAACGTCGACTTTGACCAGGGATCAAGGAGCCCTTCACCGGGTTGAACGTGACTGGGTAGGATTTCAGCTGCCTTTAGAGTACCGAAAGCTAAGGATACTCCAGACTTTCGATGCCGTCATCATTGCGTCCGGCCATTACCATGCTTGTCGTATTCCAGATATATCCGGCCTTGCGGCATGGAAGAAGAGATGGCCCAGCCGTGTGCAGCATTCCAAGAGCTACAGGCACCCCAGGAATTTCAGAGATCAGGTGTGTATGCCTGAAAGTCTCCGGGCTGCTAGACCTATTTTAGAAATACACTGATCCAAACTGGCTGGCAGAACGTTCTTCTAATCGGCGCGGGCGTCTCGTCTACCGATATTGCTCGTGAGATAGGTACAGAAGCAAAGAAAATATACCAAGTTTCCAGGGGCGGGGTCTTCGATCTCCCTACAACTCTTCTCCCGCCTAGGGCCACACGTATCACGGGAGAGATTCACGCTTTCGAATGTCAACCACCAGAGAATACGCAGCTGAGTGATGTTCTGGAACCAATTCCCGGGCGAGTAGTTCTTAAAGATGGTCGAGAACTCACCGGTATCCATCATGTTGTAATCTGTACGGGATACCACATGTCGCTCCCCTTCCTGCAGCAGTATCATAGCGACAACACCCCAGTTTCCGAAGCGAACAACACAGTACTTGTTACCGACGGAACACAAGTCCATAATCTACACAAGGACATCTTTTACATACCCGACCCAAGCCTCATCTTCATCGGCATTCCCTTTTTCACCGCCAACTTCTCGCTTTTTGAGTTCCAAGCCATGGCAGTCGCTGCCGTCCTAACGGGAAAGGCTCTCCTGCCCACCACCGAAGAAATGAGCAGAGAGTATCAGCAGCGATTGCAGCAGAAAGGGACCGGGAGGATGTTCCATTCGCTGAGAGACCGAGAGCTGGAGTACGTGAACGAGCTTGTGAACTGGATGAACAGAGACGGTGCGAGGGTAGGAGCTCAGCCGGTGGAGGGTCACACGAAGGCTTGGCATGTCGCCAACGTTGATCGGTTAGCGAGGGTGCGGCAAATAATGGAAGACAAAGCCCGTGATGTCAATACCTTCGCTTGACGCTCAGATAAGCCTTTGTTGGAAGCTTGCAGAGAGGTCGAATAGTTGCAATATGACAGGACACCATTTCCTGGAATCTTCCAATGCACCGTTTCCCGATAAAGTCCTAGTTGATCAAGAAATATATCTACCATGTGCGAACCATCAATACATATCGATGTCTATGTACCATCTACTGACCACTAGACTCATCATGTATCCACCCCTAGGTTGATGACCTTAGGTAAGCTACTAATCTGCCTGTGTACTAGTCGCCGCTACCCACGGTAACCGGATTCGCGAATAGATCCCCCCCAACCGAGTAAGCACAGAATCCAGAAATATCTTCTTGCGCAGCACTCAAATCTGATTCAACCGAGCAGGTCACTACTCTTTTAGGACTCACAATGCAGCTTATGCAGCTTCCAAACGCTACACTCCTGCCGTTTCACACTTCATTCAGTGTTACTATTGATCAACACCTCAGTGTCGAAGTCAGCCTCAAACGCCGCACTGGTGTACGTTGCATCAACGCCAAAGCCCAATTTCGAAGAGTGAAGGAGTGGCGGTCAGGTCTCCCCTCGTTGTAACTACCTGAATCCTTGGTGTCAATTGACGACTCAGCCCACGAGCCTAGAGCAACCTTAGAATAATCTAGACTCACACAAGCCAGCAGAAAACCTTTTCAAATCCGTGATGAATTCTTCTCAAAAGTCATGTTCATCATGCTCCTATTAAGCGAGTGCTCCAGCTTTTGGCACGAAGCTTTCTCCACAAGCGGGGGTTGGGGGCTGTAAATAGCCAAACCCTATTTTAAGTACGTTTTCAAGCCAATGACTACCTTACTAATCGTGCCACGCAACTTACCTAGGTCCTTCCTCGCCAACAGTGTGCCATCCTAGCATGCAGAAAGCGCATTAGTCTTCTTTAGCGCCTGATTACTGTTCGCAAGCAACATCGAAGGATTCAGTTCCTTCGAAGCTCAAAGGTCGAAGCTATTTCCGTAGAGTATGTGACCTATAAACCCATGCGACGGCCTGGGATGAATAGCAACGCTGGATTCGTGACTTGAAAGATGAGCTTTGTCCGACCTTGACACAAAACGTGATCTGGAGACTGGATAATGGAAAATTGACAAGATGTTAGGAGACTCAGATATCTGCATTTGCGGCACAGCGCGGAAAGCCTTATCGACGGCGTAGCGGTGATTCCGTGCATGAGGCACGGCTCGCTATGTTGTACTGTTGGTGGGGCTGAAAACTTAGGGCAGGTCAAGCAACCTATAAAAACATAAATTTGTTGGAAGTATATCTTGTACATACATACCCTTTTTCCTCTGGTTGACTGGTTCGATTTTCAACCTTGGACCCTACTCGACTGTAGAGGGATTCTTGACACACAGCACAAAAATGCCGACTCTCTGATCTGAATGTTGTTTCCCGTAAATTCCATCCAAATTCTCACAGCTGAGCAAATTTGACAGAGAATCTGCCAAATAGATCTACCCTAGCAACACCCCCAGAAATTTACCAGATGGCGACACCAGATGCAGCAGAAATTCAATATCAGCGCTCACACATCCAGGATGATCGGTCGAAGAACATTGTCATATCACATATAATATGTATCATCATTGCTATTATTGCGGTTGCTCTAAGACTTGCATCCCGGCGACTGTGTAAAGCGGCAATTCTGGCGGATGATTTTGTGTGTTTTGCAGCACTGGTAAGCCCATTTCCCGTCTTCGAGTCTTCGTAGTTTTCCAACTTCTAAATTGCTGGGCCTAGATAGCTAACTAGCTTTCGCTTTTTCTAGATTTTTGCCATTGGAGAGGTGACGGGAGGCTGGATGTGTATGTCGCCTTCTCAACAGACAATAAAGCAAAAACTCGCTGACCGGCCTCCGCAATCAGGTGTTCATTATGGCGGCGGAAAGCATGCCATTCTTCTCAAGAACCCGGAAACATTTGCTAAGGTATGTAGATGCTGATAGTCTTCTTACATGCTCGTTTCCACTCACAGTTGAAACAGTGGGTAATTACCACGGAGATATTCTACAACGCCGCCATCACAACCATCAAGCTCTCGATCTTGCTGCTTTACCGCCGGCTTTTTCCACTCCCTCAACTCAAAATCATCCTCTGGAGTGTCGGTTGCTTCGTCATAAGCTGCTGGTTGACCATCACTCTACTGACCATCTTTCAATGCCATCCGATTCGCGCGGCTTGGGATCTGTCTGTCAAGGGGCAGTGCCTCCGGTTAAACGTGGCGTATATCGTATTGGGCACATGTAATACCATAACCGACATGGTCGCTCTCTGCCTACCCATGCCACTAATATGGCGATTACATACCGATAAATCGCGAAAAATGCAGCTAATCGGCGTCTTTTCCCTTGGGGCCCTGTAAGTCCTCCGACCCGTTTTGGACCTAATGAAAGGCTGAAGTATGCAAAGTACGTGTGCCGTCAGTCTGTACCGCATCCCCAAAATGGCGCAGCTCTCATTGTCAGATGCACCCTGTAAGATCCGCCCTACTCCTCTGGTAGTCGGAATCGTCGCATGGCAAGCGCTCACAACTCCTTAGGGTCCGACGTCGACGCAGCCGTCTGGGGTGTGGTCGAAGTTAACCTTGCGATTCTCTCAGCATGCCTGCCGACTTTCCCAGCTCTCTTAAATTGGCGAAGCGTGCACCGCCGCAACACTCCCCCGGGTGGAGCAGATCCCAAAAGTTGGGGCTCGGCGAGCTACCCGGCTTTGATCCCCGATGAACGTCGATCGGGATTCAGAAGTGGTTCGGGCTATGCCCACAAGGACGCGTTGAAGATGGAAGATCGGTCAGAAGGAACGAAAGGCGCGGAGCGAGCTACTGTGTGGATTGAAAGAAGGGGTCCGTCAGACGAAGAGGTTTGATTTTGGCAAGCCTATTTGCTAGATATCTACGAGCGCTCTTAGTCTCGAATACGGCCGTTATTGAGCCCAATCGCGAGAATTTGGAGTTCGTAATCGATGACTATGCTCAACTTGTTCTTGGAAACGCTGCGCAACGGCGTGGGTACCCCGACGGGGTTTCGGGGCGGGGGCAGCGTGACCCTCGAAACCCTACCCCAGCCCCACAGTACGATGGAAACTGTCAAAGAAATGGATCACTGGGTCATGAAATCATGGTGTGGTGTAAAGATGTTGATTATTCTATGTGCCTGCAGGGCAGATATGTGCGGTGCCCAGCCACGCTAGGCTCGATTGGGTTATGGCTCTAGAGGAGGCCTTAATATATCGTTATTAGAGGGTGTAAAAAGTTATTAAATAAACTAGACTATATTTAAACGTAGTATCGTAGCAACTTCGTTAAAATTATTTATTTATACTTATATCTATTATTCTTCTTTTTTTCTTTTATTATATAATAACGATACTATTATATATTCTTTATAAGAAAAAAATATTAAAAATAAATCGTCGTAAGATCGATACTATTAAAAGATTTTAATTTTATAAGACTATCGATACTCGAGATATAAAACTATTAAAACTAGTTTATTAGAAGAAAAATGTTAAAAAATCTACGAGAGATTATTAACTTATATAATAACGTTATATTATTTTAGAGATAGTCTATTAAAAAATAAATATATTTTAAATAAAACGACTATTTAAAATATTAAATAAAAAGCTTATAATAATATTAAATTCGAAAAATAAGACTTATAATAAAGGCTATAAACGATAAATCGAGATTTTCTCTTTAGAATATACTATTAAATATCTATAAATCTTACTTTAAACGAGAAAAGCTAATATTAAGTTATATAAAAAGATTAAATATAAGTAAGTATCTTAGTCGAATAAGAAAATTAGATAGAATTATAGATATAATTATAGAGATAAGATAATAGAGTAATTTTAAACTTTTATAGAATAAACGAATGAGATTTATATAAATTCTACTATTATAGAAGTAGATTATATACTTAAAGAGAAGAGTTTAAATTAGCGCTATACTCTCGAGAATATAGCTAAAATATCGCTATTAAAAGAGATAGTTCTATATATATTAGCCTTTATCTTCTATTATTATAAAGAGAATTTATATTTCTATAACGATCTCGACGACGTTTTAAAGTTAAATATTAACGTATAAGTAAATACTTCTAAGAGATAACGTTCTCTTAAATAACGGAAAAACGAATTCGAAGAGTAATTCTATTAGAGCGAGCGCTATTTATAATAAGTTATAGTTAAATCTTACGACGTCGAAGTATAATTAAAAGAAAATTCTATAACTTAGTTATTCTATACTAAGAAAATTCTTTTATTATATCTTAAAGAGATATAAGAAGTTAAGCGAAAAACTAATAGAAAGTATATACTTTAAAAGAATAATAACTTAAGTTATAGTACTCGATTAGCTATAAACTACGTACGAGAGTATAAACGAAAGTATAATATCGAGACTCTAGAATATTTAGTTTAATTATCGAATCTTAATTCTATAAAAGTCGTATAAAATATTCTAAAGTAGAGGATTCGTTATAGAAAGTGAAAGAATAAGAATAACTTAAAAAGAGTTCTTCTCGAGAAGTAATAGAAGATTTCTCTAGAAGAAATTTAGAAACGAATTAATAAGATATCGAAACGTTATATATAGCTTATAAATAACGATAATAAGAGTATTAAATTAGCTACTTAATAATTTAATAGTAATAAAATAATAGAAATATAGTTAAGTTAGTTTAGAGAAGCTATATTTAAATATAGTCTAATTTACTTAATAACTTTTTATATTCTCTAATATTATAATAATATACTCGTAAAGAATAAAAAAAAGATACGCTCTCGTAACTATATCTCGAAATAGCTATATTAAGTATATATTAAATACGAGTAAAGATTTATAAATTAAATTTATAATTCTTTTTCTTAATTAGAGCTATCGAGTAAATTTAATAAGCGATCTTTAGTAAGCGATCTTTAATAAGCGATCTTTAGTAAGCGATATTTAAATATCTTGCTTTTTAATAATTAAAAGATTAAATTTCGAAATTTTTAAAGCGTTTAAAAGCGTAATCTACGCTTTATAGTTTAAAAAAATAATCTTAAAATTTTAATAGAAAATAGTAAAGTTATTAAAGAATTAAAAGTAGAATAAGATATTTTAATAGTTATAAACGCTAATTTATTTATTCGCGATAACTTAGTCGATCTAATTAAAGAGCGTAGTAATTTTAAATTTATAATTAATTATATATATAAATTTAAGATTTTCTAGCTTAGCTCTATCTTATTCTTTTATATATATTAATATATTTATATGTCTATTCTTAATTTATAATTTTTATATTCTTTACGAATTAAATATAATTAAGTAAAGAGATAAGTTAAAAAACGAGTTACACTATATAATAAGACGAAGTAAAGCGAAGTTTTAAATATCTAATATTACTTCGCTTCGAGTTAAGATTTTAATAAAATAAGATAAAATTTAAATAGAGTTTTTTTATTAAGATAATAGAAAATCTTATTATTCTCGCTAAGCGTTTAATTAAATTAAAGTTTATATATCATTAATATATAAGTAAAGATTTATAAATTAATTTTTTTTAATTAGAGCTATTAAGTAAATTTAATAAGTAATCTTTAATAAGCGAACTTTAATAATATTAAATTTAATACTATTATAAGTCTTAATACTACTTATATTAAAACTTCGAAATTATATATATTATATTAAAGATTTCTTTTAAAGTTTAATTTTAGTAATATATTTTATATATTTAATATTAGAAACTTAATAATATATATAATAACTTTATATTATAGTATAAAGAGAATATTATCTATATAGAATTATTATAAATATAAATTTTATAGTAAAGTAGAAAGATTAAAAGATCTTAATATACTAAGCTTAATTAGATTATAATATAAATAAGATTATTAAAATCGTAATATTATCTCTCTCTTTAATTTAAAGCTTTAGCGACGACTATAATATAGTAGATATTAATCTTATAAGAAGTATATCTAGATATATATAGAGTAATATTCTTAAATATATTAACTTAGTATTTTATTACGAGATTAAGATCTTTTTATAAATTAATATAATTATTATAAATTAATAGCGCTAATAGAGAAAACTATTCTAAAGATCTTTTAAATAATAAATAAAGATTAACGATCTCGAGATAATAATAATAAAAGTCTATTATTAGATTTAGATATTCTATTATATTCGTAAATAGTTATTAAAATAAATTTTTCTTAATCTTAAAGCCTCTATATCTAATTTTATATATTAGATATTTTCTCTTATTATTTAAAAAATTCTTCTTTTATTTATTTAATTTAAATTAAATTATTTTTTTAATATTATAAATTTTATCTTTTTTATTAATATTAATAGATAGCGATAGAGATTTACTCTATTTTAATAATAAGTTATTATTATTAAAATATAATAGCTATAAATAAAAGATAAAGTAAATATTATTTATAAAAATTAAAAATTCTAACTTATAAGCGAAATTATTTAAAGCTTTAATAATTTTAAATAATTTGAAATTTTTATAATTTAATAATTTATTAGAGTATATAATTTTAATATTTCTTTTATTAAATATAATTATATCTTTAACTTTAAATTTTACTATTAAAAGTCGATAATAATTAATTTACTTCTTCTATAAAGCTTATAATTATTTAAATTAACTCTTTAAATAATTTTTATAATATTTATCTTCTCGATAAATCTATTAGCTAATTTAATATCTCTCTTTACTCTTTAATTAATAAATTAATTTTAAAGAATAAAAGATTTTATTTTTAAATAAGAAATATATTCTTTAATAAGAAGAAATAATAATATATTTAATAAGGCGTTCTTATTTAAGTTAGCTTCGAACTTTATTATTAATAATAAATTTATTTAATTATCTTAATTATAATTAATATAAACTTTAAGATATTACTTTAAAATAGCGTTAGCGTTCTCTATCTATTTATTAATTTTAAAGTAAAATATAATAAAGAGTTTAAATTTAAATTTAATTCTTTTATATAATCTTCTTTAGAAATATATTATAAATTAGATATCTTAATTAGAGATAATAATAAATAGATATTATTTTTTTCGCTATATAAATTCGATAAAAGTCTAAACTACTATCTCTATTTCTAGAGAGTTTAAAAGAAAGAATTTCTTCTTCTTATTAAGTTTATTTATAATTATTATAATATATTAATAAAGATATTTATATCTAAGATAAATAGATAATAATATAATAAAGTTAATAAAAATATCTTATTAATATTATTTAAGAATAAAAAGAGATTTAAGTAAATCTTATTTATCTTTTCTATAAGTTTTAAATCTTTTATAGATATAATAAGTTTAGATTAATAAATTAAATTTATAATCTATTTTTTTTTAATTAGAATTATTATTAAGAAATAGTTTTTAATATTATATTATATTAATATTATCTCGTAAGATAGTAAGTTATATTCTCGAATACTAAGTTTAATATAATATAAATTCTATATAAATATCGACTTTCGACGCTACTTCTCGATTTTTATACTAAGAACTAGCTAAGCGAGCGAAGAAGATCTTATTATATAGCTATATAGATATATAATAAATAAAGCGATTTATTTATAAATTTAGATATTACTATAGTAATCTATTTTAATTCTCTATATAAATTATCTAAATTAGAGATAATTTATTTAGCTCGAGAAAAAATACTTAATATTATAACTTTTAGTCTATATTTAGTCTATAATTAATCGCTTCTAATAGCGAACGCTTTTTATAGGTCGCTTTCTAATCTTTAGTTTCCTTAATATCGTCCGAGAACTTCTTAATCTTATACTCGTCGACGCGTATAGTATAGAAAGACGTTTATATA